CTCTCTTGTTGTGTTAACCTCTCGTTGTGTTTACCTCTCTTGTTGTGTTAACCTCACGTGTGTTAGCCTCCCTTATCCCTCCACTTGCTTCCCTTGTCCCCCTCTTGTCTTGCCCACTCGATTTCAGGCTGGGATCTCTCCCAATCATCACCATCACGCGTACCCTTCCAAGGCGCCTCTCTTCTACTCGCTTGACATCGGCCCCGTGCACGTGATCGCCATCAACTCGTACTCGCCTTTTGTCATCTACACGCACCAGGTGGGTAAGGGCTGCACTGCACGCACCAGGTAGGTCGGGGCTGCACGCACCAGGTACATGGTTGTTGTACACCATGTGGTGTAGGGTTGTTTTTTTAGAAGACTAAGGAATCACTACCAAGGTGCACTCCCTCCTGTTGACACCTCTCTTCTTCTATCGGCCCCTTCTCAGTAATGACAGCATTGTCGTCGTCAAGTCGACTCGTACTCCATTTCGGCTGCTGATATTCCCAGCCCCTCATTACCTCATTTCGCAGTGCTACTGGTCTGGGTGTGCGATCACTGCCCACTCGTTGCGTGACTTTGCAGGGTGTTTTTGAGAAATCCCAAAATTTGCAGGGTGTTTTTGAGAATTCTCAAAAACACCCTGCAAAAACGCAGTGCTACTGGTCTGGGTGTGCGATCACTGCCCACTGCCCACTCGTTGCGTGACGGCTCTGATTCTTGTTTCGCTGTCCCCGGGTTTTCCCCACTTGTTTTCATGCCATTTGCCCCACCCCCCCCCCCCCCCCCCCCCCCCCCGGGAATCCCTTCGTGGCATCTGGCTTGTGTCCCCCCCACCCTGCATGGCACTGGTACTGGTTGCGGGACTACTTGTGCCGCATCGACCGCGAGAAGACCCCGTGGATGGTGGCATTTGACTCAAGAAAGGCCTATCCTCCTCCCCTCCCCCCCTTCTCCCCCCGCAGTGGTACTGGTTGCGGGATGACTTGTGCCGCATCGACCGTGAGAAGACCCCGTGGGTGGTGGCATTCAGCTTCTTGAACTCAAGAAAGACCTATCTTTTGCCTTGCTTCCTCCTCCCCTCCCCCCCCTCCTCCCCCCCGCAGTGGTACTGGCTGCGGGATGACTTGTGCCGCATCGACCGTGAGAAGACCCCGTGGGTCGTGGCTTTCATGCACGTGCCCCTCTACAACAGCAACGACGGGCACTACCTCGAGGTATGGTTGTTTTGGTTGGATACTGCGACCGACCCGCATACCTGGGCATTCGTGCACGTGCCGCTCTACAACAGCAATGTCGGCCACTACCTCGAGGTATGGTTGTTTTAGTTGGATACTGCGACCCGCATACCTGGGCACTACCTGCGATGAACAATTGAAAGCGATATCAGCAGGGGGTTGTGGGCATTCGTGCACGTGCCGCTCTACAACAGCAACGACGAGCACTACCTTGAGGTACGGCTGTAACAGGTGGATACAACGAGTATTAACAGCGAGTAACAATCGAATGGGACAGTAGCCATAGGTGGTGGGTGGCATTCATGCACGTGCCGCTCTACAACAGCAACCAGGGGCACTACCTCGAGGTATGGCTTAAGTGGCAGCAGAGCCTGCTAGATATTTGACAGCAGCTGTGGGTGGTGTAGACCAGGGGGGGAGGCCGGGATGAATCTGGCGGCTGGAGGAGCTACTCCATGTGCCATGGGGGCCCATTGTTCTCCCTTCCATCCCTCCTTTGTGTAGGACAAGCCCCATGGGATACGAGATGGAGGAGTGGCTGCACGAGGCTGATGGGGAGTGCCCCAGTCATACACGGAGTGCCCATGTGCACTCCAGCCCATGTGCACTCCAGCCCATGTGCACGGGGCGTATGAGTGCACCCACCCCGTGTATGGCATAAAGCGTGCCCTTTGTTCCCCTTGCCTTCCCCCTTGCCTTCCCCCTTGCCATCCGCCTTGCCTTCCGCCTTGCCTTCCGCCTTGCCTTCCGCCTTGCCTTCCGCCTTGCCCATCCTTGGCTCAGGGCGAGCCCATGCGGTACGAGATTGAGGACTGGCTGCATGAGGCAGGGGTGGACCTGGTGGCGAGTGGCCATGTGCACGCGTATGAGCGCAGCTACCCGGTCTACGGCATGAAGCGGGTGGAGAATGGGTGTGCTGCCGTGCATGTGACTGTGGGCGACGGTGGCAACATTGAGGAAATCGCCGGCCCGTGAGTGCTTATTAACTGCCGCCCGTCTTCAGTTCTAATTCTGAGGTGCCTCAAAAGGCAACGGGCGTGCTGCCGTGAACGTGACCATGGGCGACGGTGGCAACATCGAGGAAATCGCCGGCCCGTGAGTGCCCGGTGTGTGTGCTTTAAGTGGCCACGTGCACGTGTACGAGCGCAGCTACCTGGTCTACGGCATGAAGCGGGTGGAGAACAGGTGTGCTGCTGTGCATGTGACGGTCGGCGACGGCGGCAACATTGAAGAGATCGCCGGCCCGTGATTGCCCTATGTGTGGCCATGTGTATGTGTAGCTGCACCCCCTAGTGTATGCCATGAGAAAGATGGGCAACGTCCGTGCTGCCGTGCATGTGACTGTTGCTGACGGCGGGAACATCGAGCACATGAGTGCCTTATGTGTGGTGCAATGACTGGTTGTATCCTCCCTTCTGCTGCTGACTATTCCTGCAGCAAGGTGTGTTGAATCTCCATGCTGCATGAGCGCATGGTGGTGCTTATTTAGCCCCTCAAGGTGACTTTTGAGTCGACTCAAAAGTCACCTCGTTACAATGTCACACAACACTCATGCTGCATGAGCTCATGGTGGTGCTTATTTAGCGCCTCGAGAACATTGCTGCATCAGTCGGTTGGAACTTGGAGACAATGTGTATCTTGGTGCATCAGAGCATGGAGGCAAGGAAAGTGAGAAATCAGCAGGTTTTGAGTCGACTCAAAAGCAATATGTACCTTGCTGCGGACATAGTAGACGATGAAACCTGCTGATTCTACATAGCAGAGGATTCTGCAGGTTCAGCTCAACCTTCCTTTGTAATTTTATCCTTAATCTCCCACTCTGCTTTTCTTCCCCCGCTTTTCGATGCCGTTTCCTGGATCTGGGCTGCAGCCATCATATAGAATCATATAGTGCGTATCGGGCAGGAGTCCACCCCCGTGATAGGAGTCTAGTTTTGAGGCGCCTCAAAACTAGACTCCTATCACGCGGATTTTGAGGTGCCTCAAAACTACACTCCTATCACGCGGATTTTATCCATACAGTGCGTATCGGGCAGGAGTCCACCCCGTCTTCCCCTTGGGCACCAAATCGTCACACATCCCCCCCCCCCCCCCGGCTCCCCCTCTTCCCCCCCCCTCTCTCCCTCCCCTCTCCCCTTCCTTCCCCTTCTTTTCTTCACCATTCAGTTTCCTGGAGCCCCTGGCATCATAAAGTACATTTTTGAGGCGCCTAAAAAATCTTTCTTTTCTTCAGCATTCAGTTTCCTGAAGCCCCTGCCATCATGAAGTACATATCACGAGGAGTCCTTCAGGCAGCGCGCCGTCGCACATCCCCCATTCCCTGCCCCCCTGCCCCCTCCCCCCCCGTCCTTTTTTCCCCTCAGTTTTCTCGAGCCCCAGCCATCGTACAGCGCATACCGCGAGGAGTCCTTCGGCCACGCGGAGCTTATTTTCAACGACAACCACACAGCCACCTACAGCTGGTATGTCCGTGACCTCGCTTCCTGGTACGTCTGTGACTTCACTTCCTGGTGCGTCCGTGACCTTACTTCCAGGTGTGGTTACCTCTAGGCCCGTTCTCGTTTCCAACGACAACTGCACCGCCACCTACAGCTGGTAGGTTTCTCAACCTCTGTGTCTCAGGGCTGTTTCTTGGCATTTCTTTCTAAACGGGTGTTTCTTAGCCTTATTGTTGAAGGGGTGTTGGCTGATTGCTTCACTCCCCCTGAAAACCACCGGTTGTCCCTCTCCTTTGTTCACCCTCTATTGAATGCGCAGGTACGGCAACTGCCAGGGCAAAGGAGTGTTGGCCCTTCTCCACTTCCCTGGAAACCATCTTCCCTTCACTCTCCTTTCTGTTCATCCCTCTATTGACTGCGCAGGTATCGCAACCACCAGGGATCGGGCGCGTTGGCCCTTCCACTCCTCTGAAAACCCACCTTCCTTCCCTCTCCTATCTGCGCATCCCTCTATTGACTGCGCAGGTATCGCAACCACCAGGGATCGGGCGCGTTGGCCCTTCTCCACTCCTCTGAAAACCCTCCTTCCTTCCCTCTTTTATCTGCGCATTCCTCTATTGACTGCGGAGGTACCGCAACCACCAGGGATCGGGCGCGTTGGCCCTTCTCCACTCCTCTGAAAACCCTCCTTCCTTCCCTCTTTTATCTGCGCATCCCTCTATTGACTGCGCGGGTACCGCAACCACCAGGGATCGGGCGCGTTGGCCCTTCTCCACTCCTCTGAAAACCCTCCTTCCTTCCCTCTTTTATCTGCGCATTCCTCTATTGACTGCGGAGGTACCGCAACCACCAGGGATCGGGCGCGTTGGCCCTTCGCCACTCCTCTGAAAACCCTCCTTCCTTCCCTCTTTTATCTGCGCATCCCTCTATTGACTGCGGGGGTACCGCAACCACCAGGGATCGGGCGCGTTGGCCCTTCTCCACTCCTCTGAAAACCCTCCTTCCTTCCCTCTTTTATCTGCGCATTCCTCTATTGACTGCGGAGGTACCGCAACCACCAGGGATCAGGCGCGTTGGCCCTTCTCCACTCCTCTGAAAACCCTCCTTCCTTCCCTCTCCTATATGCGCATCCCTTTCTTAACTGCGCAGGTTCCGCAACCACCAGGGCTCAGGGGTGTTGGCTGACTCCTTCCCCCTCCTGAATCGCGCCAACAGCTGCGGCCCCCTCCGCCGCCCTTCCTTCTGCACGTAGGCCGTAGCTCAGCCAAGTTTCTGCATGCGCCGAGCTTGGCCTTGGAGCTCGACTTTCAGAGGGGGGTTGGGTGTTGGCAGACACTTTCACTCCTCTCAACCGCGACAAGTCAACAGCTGCTGCTGCCCTTCCTTCTGCTCGTAGGCCGTAGCTCAGCCAAGTTTCTGCATGCGCGGAGCACGGCGGCATTTGAGTTGGGTTCTCGAAAGGGGGGTTGGGTATTGACCGACTCCTTCACTCGTCTCAATCGCGCCAACAGCTGCGGCCCCCTCGGCCGCCCCTCCCTTAGCTCCTCCTAGATAGAAGCTATGAGCTGTAAGTGCGTGCTCTGCTCCTCTTGGTCATAGGTGTAAGAAGTGGTCTTATTGTGTGCTATATCTATCAACTTCTTTCGTGCTGGCTAGAGTCATATATTGGCCTTGGATGGAAGGCTGTGATTCTGGTTGTGGCACAACTTTGTTAAAGTGTAACTCTTTGGAGATACCGACGTGTAACATGTAGTACTCTTCGTGAAGTCTTACAGTCCGAAAGTGAAAGATATTAGACCTGCGTACAGCCTTCCGTTCGTACTGCGCAATTCGTCTATAAGCCTGTTCCAATTCGACCCCAACGATCCAATAAAGTAATCGCATTCCGATGTAATGAGCAGGTTGGCAAAAATAATCCCCATAGGTTGTCGCGCATTTTCGTGCGCGTCCTTCATTTGCTCCGCACTGTTCACTCGGGAGCTGTTGGTGTAGAAGAACGTCCAGTCGGGATGATCGTTCGTTTCGTCGATTACAGACTGGAGGAAATAGAAAACGGGGAGAAATGGAGAGAGGATAGAAGGATGGCAGGGGAGGGAGGCGGAAGGTGGAGCAAGGAGAGTGAGAGAGAGCAATGCGAGACAGAGGTGACTTTTGAGTTGACACAAAAGTCGCAGGATGGCAGGGAGGAGAGAGTGGTGGCGGCGGAGCAAGGAGAGTGATGAGAAACAAAGGTAATTACTCTCCTTCTCATAACGTCAGGTCTAGTTGATGCCCAGCCAGGAAGATATGAGAAGGACGCATGACAGCAGCAGGTGCAGACCCATCTCGGGCTACTTGTCGCTCAGCCGCACACACATGCATTCCCTTGCTCCCTCCACTCCCCCTCATTTCACGCCCACCCTTCACGGAACACAAGGCGTTGAATGCCCTCCATTCTCACCTGTACTTCAGTGCTCAGCCAAACGTGCCTCAGGTCTGGCCGATGCTGTCTCAGCCTGGATGCCATCACAAGGAATGACGGCAGAGGGTGCAGACCCATCTCCGACCCCTTGTCGCTCAGCCGCACGTGCATGCTCACCACTGGCCGCACCATAAACACCTCCCCCCCAACATCCATAGAACCCCCATGGGGCTGCTGGGAGCTGGAGGGATTGTGAAAGGCGGCGGGGATACTGCTGGGGAGGTTATGGCAGCCTGAACGACCCCTGTTTGGCCAAACGTGCGACTGCAACGACCGCACACGTGTCGCATTCCCATTGGCTGCAAGAATTTCCCGCCCCGTTTCCCTCGCCTTGGCAGCAATCAGCAGCAGCAGGTCGTCCAGAGGATCCCTTTCTTCCGCTGATGAGGTGGCAGCTGAGGTGGCAGCTGAGCTGGCTGCTACGGTGGCGTTCAGTGATTCAACGATGCTCCCTTGCTGTGCCGCGACTGCTGCCACGCGATTGGCCACGAGGAGGCCGTAGCTGACGTGGCGGACGCGGTTGATGACGTGGCAGAGATGAGCGGACGGCCAGCGGAGCAAGAAGCGGGTTGTTTGAGCCCTCCACCACCGGGCCTGGGGGGAGGAGAGTAAGGTAAGAAGGGCAAGAGACACCAGCAGACCTCTGCCAATGGGCCTTCAGAAGCTTTGTATTTTCAAGGGAAGAGGAGAGGAGGAGGAGGAGGAGGAGGAGGAGGAGGAGGAGGAGGAGGAGGAGGAGAGGAGGAGGAGGAGGAGGAGGAGGAGGAGGAGGAGGAGGAGGAGGAGGAGGAGGAGGAGGAGGAGGAGGAGAGGAGGAGGAGGAGGAGGAGGAGGAGGAGGAGAGGAGGAGGAGGAGGAGGAGGAGGAGACGTGGGTGGCTTGAGCAATCCCTTGCAAAAACAATTGTCATGCAACAAATACCATGCACTCGCCATCATGCATGAGGAGTCTAGTTTTGAGGCGCCTAAAAAATAGACTCCTCACGCATGAGCCCCCCCTTGAAAACACAGTTGTCGTGCGACAAATACCACGCACTTGCCATCACGCACCCACCATCATGCACCCACCATTATGCACCAAGCACCATCACACACCCACCACCATGCACCCACCATCATGCACCCACCATTACGCACCAAGCACCATCACACACCCACCATCACACACCCACCATCATACACCCACCATCATGCACCCACCATTATGCACCAAGCACCATCACACACCCACCATCATCCAGTCAGGCTCTTGAGTAGAAATGGAAGCCGCCTCTTGAATGGTGTGCGGCCGATCCAGCCACGGCTTGCCCCACCTCCTGCAGTGGGTACCATTGTGTGGGTGAGAATGCAATGTTGGTTGCATGCGGACAGGGGGTTGTTGCATGCAGACAAGGGGGTCGTTGCTTGTGGACATAGGGGTCGTTGAAAAGTAGGATTGAAGGCACATGGCGAAACTGGAGTCTTACCAGGGCTTGCCTCACGTCCTGCCACGGGGGGCATGGTGCGAATCGCATGCAAGCAAAAAGAATGCACTCTCATAGAGGCATCAATCCAACCAATCTAGCAAAAACGCTCCTCCCATCTCAAACTTACAGCCTGGCAGCGTCAATGTCACCGAAGAGGGATGAGAGGGCGAGATAAACCACCTGCATTGCAGGGATGCACGGTACCAGGGTTTACGTATAGACCGCAACAAAAATGAGACGTTGCCCTCTCATATGAGATTGTATCGCTGCCCCCAAAAATGGCACCGAAGACGAAATGCCGCAAAATGAACGGAAAACTGTGAATAGAATCAATAGAATAAAGAAGAGCCCAGAACGAGGATAGATAAAATGCAGAAAACCACTTCCTTGGGGCTTCTTTTTCTTTCGCAGACAACCTACGTGTCACCAGCCAGCATGGCATCCCTCCCTTCTTGCCCCGGATATCCGGAGCTCGCCCCCTCCCCTCCTCCTCCCTCTACTAGCCTAATAGTGCACATATACCAATCTGTGCGTCACCAGCCAGCATGGCTACTCTCCCTTCCTGCGCCCGGAGATCCAGAGCCACCCCCCCTACCATAGTGTAATGAGTCGATTTTTGAGTCGACTAAAAAATCGACTCATTACACGCCATCCCCCATCATATGCTGGATAGTAGGATACTCGGAGCCTCCCCCCTCTACTACTAGCCTAATAGTGCACAAGTACCAACCAGCCTGAGTGTCACCAGCCAGCATGGCTTCTCTCCCTTCCTGCGCCCGGATATCCAAAGCTCGCCCCCTCCTTCCTGTGTGGCACCAGCCAGCATGTCCTCCCCTCCTTCCTGCCATGCCCTCTTGAATGCAGGCTGGGGAGGAGATGGGGAAGCGGTAGCACTCCCACTGCTGACAAAGAAGCACCAACCTGAGTGGCACCAGCCAGCATGTCCTCCCTTCCTTCCTGCGCCCAGATATCCGGGGCCTCCCCTCTATCATGTGCTGCCATGGCCTCTTGCACGCAGCCCGGGGAGGAGATGGGGAAGAAGTAGCACTCCCACTGCTGTGCCTTGTGCAGGTCTTCTTGAGGGGTGGGGAGGGGTGGGGAGGGGAGGGAGGGGAGGGGAGGGGAGGGGAGGGGAAGAAGAGGGCATGGATTGGGACGGATGGAGGGAACGGGCGGAGATGGGAAGAAGTAGCATTCCCACTGCTGCGCCTGGAGCAGGCCTTGAGGTGGGGAACGGATGGGTGGGGAGGGGTGGGGAGTGGTGGGGAGGGGAGGGGTGAGATGGGGTGGGGCCGGACGGAGAGGGGTGGCAGGAGTGGATGGAAAGCGGGGGATGGGAAGAACGAACTAGCACTCCCACTGCTGGCTTTGAGGCGCCTCAAAACTCGATGGGAAGAACGAACTAGCACTCCCACTGCTGGCTTTGAGGCGCCTCAAAACTGGATGGGAAGAACGAACTAGCACTCCCACTGCTGGCTTTGAGGCGCCTCAAAACTGGATGGGAAGAACGAACTAGCACTCCCACTGCTGGCCCTGGCGCGGGACTTGAGAGGGAAGCGGGGAGGAGGGTGGGGGAAGGGGAGGGGAGGAGTTGGATGGATGGACCCCATCCCATGCGCCATGGACCCCATCCCAAGCACCATGGACCCCACCCCATGCACCACCATGGACCCCATCCCATGCACCCTGGACCCCATCCCATGCACCACAGACCCCACCCCATGCACCACGGACCCCACCCCATGCACCATGGACCCCATGCCATGGCGCAGGGCCAACCAGTGCGTCAGCATCAGCCATTTAGCCTTCCAACTGCTCGAGTGTGTCGTATGTGTTGGGGGTTTCGGGGGGTGATGCTATTGAGTCGACTCAAAAGCTGCTCGAGTGAGTTGTATGAGTTGGGAGGGTGCGAGGTGGAAGGTGGGATGGGGTGGGTGGGATGAGGGTGGGAGGATTGGGGAGTGGTGGTGAGGGGTGATCTCCTACCTTCGCACACTCTTGTAGCCCTCTCAACTGTTCCCGGCATGACAACCAGAGTGCGGTTGCTGCGCATGGCAATGCTTAAAAAATGCCTCCATCACATGCACCATGGATGGGTCATGGACCCCATGTCACGCACCATGGACCCCATGTCACGCACCATGGACCCCATGCCACGCACCATGGACCCCCATGCCACGCACCATGGACCCCATGCCACGCACCATGGACCCCATGCCACGCACCATGGACCCCATGTCACGCACCATGGACCCCATGCCACGCACCATGGACCCCATGTCACGCACCATGGACCCCATGCCACGCACCATGGACCCCATGCCACGCACCATGGACCCCATGCCACGCACCATGGACCCCATGCCACGCACCTAACACGCACCATGGACCCCATGTCACGCACCATGGACCCCATGTCACGCACCATGAGAACACCACTTGGTGGTAGTTTTAGCCATACGTGGCAGCGGGCTTGTCAAACACTTATCGTTTGGTAGAAAAAATTCTTAGGTGATTTTTGAGTCGACTCAAAAAAGGACCCCATGCCACGCACCATGGACCCCATGTCACGCACCATGGACCCCATGCCACGCACCATGGACCCCATGTCACGCACCATGGACCCCATGCCACGCACCATGGACCCCATGCCACGCACCATGGACCCCATGCCACGCACCATGGACCCCATGTCACGCACCATGGACCCCATGCCACGCACCATGGACCCCATGTCACGCACCATGGACCCCATGTCACGCACCATGGACCCCATGCCACGCACCATGGACCCCATGCCACGCACCATGGACCCCATGCCACGCACCATGGACCCCATGCCACGCACCATGGACCCCATGTCACGAACCATGGACCCCATGCCACGCACCATGGACCTCATGCCACGCACCATGGACCCCATGCCACGCACCATGGACCCCATGCCACGCACCATGGACCCCATGTCACGCACCATGGACCCCATGCCACGCACCATGGACCCCATGTCACGCACCATGGACCCCATGCCACGCACCATGGACCCATGTCACGCACCATGGACCCCATGCCACGCACCATGGACCCCATGCCACGCACCATGGGCCCCATGCCACGCACCATGGACCCCATGCCACGCACCATGGACCCCATGCCACGCACCATGGACCCCATGCCACGCACCATGGACCCCATGCCATTGGCCCGGTGGGGAAGGGCAGGTGCGTTTAACCGCTTCTCCTAACCTTCGCATTCGCTCGTTGCCCTCTCAAATGTCCCCCGGCATGATAACCAGTGTCCAGTTGCTGCGCATGGCAATGCTCAAATAAGCCCCCACCACATCACATGCACCATGGATGCCATGGTGCAGCCCAGGCCAGCGCGTCAGCATCACACCATGCCGCACCTTGAGGCATTCTCTCACATGCATGCCGTGCCCTACAAGATCGCAACGCGGTGTGCACCGCAACATCCCTTACCTTCACACTCCCTTGTTGCCCTCTCGAATGTCCCCGGCATGACTACCAGGGTGCGGTTACTGCGCAGGGCGATGCTCAGATAGGCCCCCATCACATGCACCATGGACCCCATCCCATGGTGCAGCCCCGGCCAGCGCGTCAGCATCAGCCGCCGCCCGGTACAGCTGGCGGGGAACTGGTGCCGCCACATGTCGCGCTGCGCGCCACGTGTCATCGCCAGATTGGCCGCGTCTGAACCACGTACCTGAAAAGGGAGGGGGTGGAGGAGGGGAGAAGGGGAGGGGGGGCGCGGGTGGGAGGGGGGGGGGGACGGGGGAGAGGGAGAGGGGGGGGGGGATGGAAGGGGGGAGAAGGGGGGAAGGGGGAGACAAGAGGCTGAGAGACAGTTGAGGAGCTGCAGCAATAAATTTGGGGAAACTCCCAGAAAGGTTTGGGAAATTTGCGGGGAGACCCTTTTAAAAACGAGAAGTTATATGGTTGCACCCATGCATGCATCCCCACTCCTCCCACCCACCTACCCACCCACGGTGGTTGGGGGCCGCAGTTACAACACCCCCGGCCATCCTCCCCGCTTCCCCCGCTTCCCCCACAGCACTCTCCAGATTCCTCGCGCGCCCATGCAAGGGGTGTTCCGCCCTCCCCCCGCTCTTCCGCTGCTCGACGCGCGGCGGTGCGGGCGGCGCAGTCTTCGAGGTGGGGCGCCGGGGGGACGTTGGGGGGAAGGGCAAGTGGCGCAGGGGGGAGGAGGGCGGAGGAATCCTCGAGGCCATACGCCTGTGTCCATTCCTGGTGTGATTATAACGGAAGGGAGTGAACGGGAAGCAGTGAACGAACGATCAGTCCTCCAGTGTACGGTATCCGAATAAGTAAGGTGGGACATAATGCTCGTTGCTGATTGGAGAGCTGACTAAGATGCCACGTCACTCACGTCAAACAGCGCCTGGGTTCTGGTTTCGTGTTCCTGATCGGCGAAGAGGTTACCAGCTTCGGCGAAGCCCGCCCAGTGCGCCAGCAGTAGCAGCACCACCGTCGTCAGCCAAGCCATAGCGGCAGGCTTATACGCGCGCGAAAGCCACCTGAACGTGTCTGTCAAGCCATAGACAACGGCTTGGTTGAAATTGAGTCGTCCTTGTAAAGTATGTTCGAATGTGAACCAACAGCCTGTAGCGGGTATGGCCATTTGCTGCGTGATTGGTTCCCATATGGGTGAGGAGATCGCGTTGGGGCAGTACTGTGCCCGGCATTGCTTGCAGGCTGCGCTGCAACTGCTTGCAGACTGTTCTGCAACATGGGAATGTTGTCGGTGAAATACTACAGTTTTTTGAAGGCATTGCTATAACGGTTTCAGCATTGTACATTTGGACCGAAACATATTTCTATTTGGACAATTACAGCTGATCAGTAAGGGGTAACTACCCCAACACTGTTAGGTGCTGAACGCACTGTTGTACGGTTGGTCCTTCCGAAAACAGGGAGACAACGCTCGGCCATTGAAACTGACTTCCACGCATCGCAGCCGTACATTCGATATGCGTGGGTGAACTGCTTCGGGAAATTATAAAAAAGGGTCCTCCCATCGCTAGAGGCATGAGCAAAAAAGGTCTGGCAGCTTTTTGCCCCGAGACCTCGTCTCCGAGCCTGTGCTACACCTCATTCGTCATACAACACGCGCACATCGCGGGGCCACAATTTTGCAGGTTCATGGGGGTGCTTCGTGTCCTAACCCTGTGATGGGACCTTTATACGAATTCAATGTACTGTACTGTATTAGGGCAAAAAGAAAAACTAAATTCAATTGGGGCACCGCATGCGACTCGGTGTGGCATCAACTCTAAACTCGCAAAAGGGCCGCGTGTTTAGGGTTAATGCCATCCGGAACAGAATTCGGTCCCCAATGGGTTTTAGTTTTTTTTTGCCCGTTGAGAAATGTTGAATGGTACCGCAAACGTCCCGTAAATGTATTTCAGGTTCAGAGGCGAGGTCCCTGGAGCAGAAAATAGCCGGACCTTTTTTGCTCACGCCTCTGGCAAAGCGAGGACCCTTTTTTATCATTTCCCAACTGCTTCCAGCAGGATCTAGAATCAATGGTTGCTCCGCAATCATCAGATTTCTCCTCGTGTCTCTCAATCCATCCCGTCCCACGTAGATTGTGTGGTCCACGGCCGTCCATCACACGCATCTCGGCTCGCCAGTGCTGGTTACCAAAAATCGTCCTTGCAAGAGTCGCGCGATACGCTAGAGGAAGAATCACCATGGCATGGCAGAGGCGGAGAACAGCGAGCCCAAGGCCAAATCTAGGGTTTCCTTTCCAATCCAACTTGAAGCCTCTGAGACTCTCTCCATGCACTTTTTTCCAGGAGTCCCAAGAGTGCGTCCCACATACACTGAATGCGGTGATGTACGGTGCGACACGTTGGGAAACGGTTTCTGTGATCCACCGCTTTGAACCATGAGGCACCGTATCGGACCTGTAAAAACTGTACGGGTGACGTACTCGCCCTGAGGCTGCTCTGGCTTCAGGGGAAAATGTCACCTGCTCCTGATAAACTCAGCCATTCTGATGGATCAACCAAGGGTATTACCAGTGAACCTATCGCAATGGCGGCGACGCTTTCTTATCTCCTGTCTCACCTTTTATGGATTTTCCTTCGACGAAATAAGGGTTTCCTAGTGTAACCCGCCAGCTGGTTCTACAGCTACTCTGGCCTGAAATGCTGAGGTTTTTAGACCGACCTCATCAAACCAGAGCAATTAGACTTCCTGTTGCTGATATAGCCGACGTATGTCTTTACTATCGCGCACCCTTGTGTGTCTCGATTTCGTGCGATTTCCCCTTAGCCGGCACCTTTATCATAACCCTAGCAATTAGGGTGTTTTATTTGAAAATCGGCGGTCAAGCGGTTTGTTTCTATAGAACTAGTTTCTTCTTCCGTTGCTTGGGGTTTCTTATTATCTGTTAACTCCAGGTAGTCCTCCGAGCGATGGAGGTCACCAGCAAAGCCGCGAGGGAGGGGTCCCGCGCTGGCGGGGGAGGCGAAGCCTCCAGTCGGCGGAACGGGGGAGATCGAGAGGGGCGCGGATCAATGAGCGGAACAAAGCGGGAGCGCGGGGGGGGCGCGTGGGGCGCGGAGAGCAGCGGCCCCGGGGGGCGCAGCGGAGCCGGCGGAGGGGGGGAGCGGGGGGGAGCTCCACAGGCGCGGGCGGGGAGAAGAAGGTGAAGGTGATGCAGCGCGGGCACGGCATTGCGCACCTGGAGAAGCTCCGCCTGCAGGAGTTGCGGAACGCGGAGCTAGAGCGGTCGCAGCAGCAGCAACAGCAGCAGCACCAGCAGCACCAGCAGCAGTTAAGACAGCTACAGCAGCATCAGCAGCAGGATCCCTCGAGCCTCTTAACCTCTTCCGCTACTGCTATTCAAGCGCTAGGGCTCGGCGGACTTTTCTCCTTTTCGCCCTCCGTCGCTTCCTCCTCCCTTGCGTCTCTCTCCGCCCCTCTCGGCCCGCATTCCGACAGCCTCGCGACAGCGGCCGCGGCGGCGGCGGCGGCGGCAGCTGCGTCCGATCCGCTGTTGAGCATCGCCGCGCGAAGGCAGTTGTCGCTGCTCGCGGCGTCGCGGTCGTTGTCAAGCGACTTCGTGGATCGAATGCGCGTGGGCGGAGACCGATCTGTGGGCGGAGGAGGGAGCGGGGCTGGCGGAAGCTTAGGCGGAAGCATTGGCGGAAGCTTGGGCGGGCTGGGTGCGGCGCTTGGGGGACTGAGCGGAACGACGGGGAGCAGTGCCGAGGGAAACGAGCGGGTTCCGCTAGACGTGGTTATGGCAGCGTCGGCAGGCGCAGCTTTGGGTAGAGACGGATTCCACATGCTCGGCGGAGGCTTGGGCGGAGGCTTGGGCGGAGGTTTGGGCGGAGGCTTGGGAGGAAGCTTGTTTGGCGCTGGGGGATCAGGGCTGGGTGGTGGGCTGGGGGGAGGCGCGGGGGCGCGGGGAGGGACCGCGAGCGAGGGGGGCGCGGGGTTCGGGAATATCTTTGGCGGGGGGCTGAGGGGGGCGGCAGCGGCGGCAGCAGCGGCTGCGGCGCACGCGGCGAGTACGGGGAGGGGCGGCACTGGGGGCGCGATGCAATCGTTGAGCGAGTTTGCCATCCGGCGGCTTCAGATCCTGGTACGCGGAGCGATGCGGGTAAGCGGAAGAAAATTGGTGAGCTTGAAGGCAGGTTGGTTGGAGCAGCAACTGGTGCTTCGCACGCGGCGAGTACGGAACTGAGAGGGGGGGGGGGGTCTCCCAGTGCAATTGCTAAGCGAGTTTGCCATCCGGCGGCTTCAGAACTTGGTACGCCGGAGTGATGGTGGTACGCCGAGAGCGATGCTGGTAAGCGGAGCGATGGTGGTACGCCGAGCTATGGTGGTAAGCGGAGCCATGGTGGTACGCCGAGCGACGCTGGTATGCCGGAGCGATGGTGGTAAGCGGAGCCATGGTGGTACGCTGAGCGATGGCGGCACCGTAGCCATCGGCGGTTGGGTACAACTCGCGGGAGGTCGGCAGCACCTGGCGCACGCCTGACACCCCTTTCCGCTGCTCTCTTACTCCACCTTTTGACGCGAAGGGTTTTTTGGCGGAGCAGGCAGGCGGGGGGGCGGCAGCGTGGCCATCGGCGCTGGGTACAACTCGTGGGAGGCCGACAGCACGGGGCGCACGCCCGACACCCCTTTCCGCTGCTCCCTTACTCCACCTCCCCCCCCCCTGTTTCCCCCCGTGTCTTTCCCTTTCCTCTGCCCGTTCCTCTGTGTGTGTGTGTCTCTCTCTCTCTCTCTCTCTCTCTCTCTCTCTCTCTCTCTCTCTCTCTCTCTCTCTCTCTCTCTCTCTCTCTCTCTCTCTCCCTCTTCTCCACAGAACGACCTGCGGCAAGTGGAATCGGCAGGCGGGGGTTCAAACCTCGACGTGGGGGCGTTTGGCGGAGCAGGGGGGCCGGGGGGCGGCAGTGTGGCCATTGGGGCTGGGTACAACTCGTGGGAGGTCGACAGCAGCTCGCGCACCCCAGGCTCCCGCGGAACTGGGCTCGGCGCAGCAGCAGCAGCAGCAGCAGCTGCAGCGGCGGCGGCGGCAGCAACAGCAGCAGCGGCATCGGCAGCAGGCGGGACGTCAGGAATAGCAGCAGGGGCAATGCCAGGGGGAGGACTTGCTGGTTCAACCCCCCCGGCTGCTGCGTCTGCTGCTTCCCACGGGCTATCAAATCTCGCCTCAGGCGCGAGCGCTGGCGGGGGGAGCGCGGGTACGGGCGCTGGGCCTGCGGGTATGAGTGGTGGGGGAGGCGGTAGCCCCCTTGGCGCGGGGGGGAGCTCGCTCTCCGCCCATCTACCCAGCGCCACGCCTCTTTCCGCCACTGGCGTGGGGTTGGGGCCGTCTGGCTTGCGCCACAGCAGCTTCAGGGGGGATGGGGGGGCGGAGGCGTCACCCCTTGGGGGAGGCGGAGGCGGAGGGTTGGGGGGAGGGGGAAAGGGGGGGGAATGGGCGGGGGAAGGAATCTGGAGGAAGAAAGCGGGGGAAGGGGGTTTCTGGGGGGCTTTGATCAGAGGCTGGGTAGCGGGGGGAATGATGGTAGTGGGGAGCGATTTGGAGGGGAGGGCGGAAGGGGCGCGGTGTTTGGGCTTGGGGCGGGGAGGAGGGAGGAGGAGGAGAAGGAAACGAGGGAAAGGCCTTTCCCCTTGCACACACATCCGTTCACGCAGTAAGTGGCTCCCCTTGCTTCAAAAGTAGCACATCCACATCCGCCCCTCTTAGCTCGCACGCCCACCGTTTGAAGTGCAATGGCTGGCAGCCATTGAGTGGCATGGTGAAAGATCAAGCCACGAGTGACGATCCATGGGATCTCACTCACTTGCTTGCGTGCACCTTCTGGCAATCATGCTACGCCAATCACGCCTTTGCCCTCCTGCCTCTTCCCCCTGTCCTCCCGCCTCTTGCCTCTTCCCTTCGCATGCAATCATATCTCCCTTTCTCCCCTCCCTCCCTCACTTCTCGACCACCTCCCTCCCCCCCTCTTTCTATTCTCCTTCTCACTCGCCCCAACCTCCCCCATGACTTTTGAGTCGACTCAAAAGTCTTCTCACTCACCCCAACCTCTCCCATGGTCCCATTCCTTCCCGCAGCAGCTCCCGAACCGTGTCCGAGCCTGTGAGTGGAGCTTCGGCATCGCTCATCGCGTCCCTATCCTCCCGAATCCTCGCCGAAGCTCACTTGCGCGAGGCAGCAGCAGCAGCAGGTGGTGCTGGTGGCGCTGGTGGTGCAGGGTCTGCAGCAGCAGCCGCAGCCGCAGCAGCAGCGGCGCATTTTAGTAACCTAAACGCAGCAGCAGCAGCAGCAGCAGCACACCTAGGAGATCTAGGAGACCTAGGATCAACAGCAGCAGCAACAGCAACAGCTGCAGCGGCAGCGGTAGCAGCAGCAGCAGCAGCAACGGCAACCACCGCCCAGCTCTCCTCCTTCCATGGCCAGGCGTTTTCCCCATCCTCTCTAGCCGACTCTCTCCTCTGGAATCGTCTCAATACGGAATCTCATCTACAGGACTTAGCCCAAAGGGACTTAGCCCAACGCGAATTAGCCCAGCGGGACCTAGCCCTGCGGGAATTGAAGGCAGAGTCCCACCTCCGGGACTTGAGAGCAGCGGACCTAGCCCTGCGCCTGCAGCTTGAGGGGCGGTTAGGCCCGCTGGAAGCAGCTCGGCAGCTGGAAGCCGCCAGGCAAGCTGCTGCGGGGCTCCTGGGCGGAACAGGAGCAGGGGCGGGAGGGGGAGGCGGGGGAGGCGGAGAAGGTGGGGGAGGCGGGGGGGAGGCGCAGGCGGAGGCGGAGGGGGTAAGGGGGGAGCGGGCGCAGGAGTGAGTGCAGGTGGGGGGAAAGGGGGAGGATATGGTCTGGGTGGAGGGGCAGGTGGGGGAGGTGAGATGCAAGGGAGGCGTGAGTCCGTTACTGCTGCAGCAGCAGTGGCAGTGACAGGAAGGGAAGTGGGACAGGTGGAGGAGTGGAAAGCAGGCCACGATTGGGATGTGGTTCGGGAACCGAGGCTGGCGAAAGGGCGGGAAGTGGGGCCGGCGGAGGTTCGGGAAGTGAGACCGGCGGAGGTTTGGGATGTGGGTCAGGTGGAGGGACGGAAAGTGGGGAACGATTGGGGATTGGCTCGGGAAGTGAGACCAGCGGAGGTTCGGGAAGTGAGACCGACGGAGGTTCGGGAAGTGAGACTGGCGGAGGGTCGGGAGAAGAGGCGGAAAGACGAAGAAGAGGAGGAGGGGGGACGAGGGATTGAGGCGAAGAGGGGGAGGAGGGAGGAGGTGGGAGGGGATGTGACGGGTGGGCGGGACGAGGGAATGAGAATGGAGGGAAGGGGAGAGGGGCAGGCGCAGGTGCAGGAGGTTCTAGCTCTTGCAAACCGCTTTGAGGCGCCTCACACTGGGCAGGAGGTTCAGACTCCGGCGAATCGCTTTGAGGCGCCTCAAACGTTGCAGGAGGTCCAGGTTCCGGCGAATTTCTTTTTGAATAGATGGGCGAGTTTGGGCCGGAGTAACAGGGAGTCGGAAACGGCAGCTGGAGGATCGCTTGTAGCAGCACTCACAGCAACAGGAAGAGGAGCACCCACAGCAACCACAACAACAGCCGGAGCAGCAGCAGCAGCAGCAGCACCAGAACCAATAGTACCACCACCAGCAGCGGCAGCAGCAGCAGCAGCAGCAGTAGGAAGGGAAGGGGCTTTGCCAGTGCCAAAGGTTTTGGTGAAGCAGGAAAGAGAGGAGGGGCTGACTGCCTTTGAGTCGGGTCAAAGGAAAAGAGAGGAGGGGCAGGGTGCTGGAGGAGGGAAGCAGGTAGGGTTGGGAATGGAACGAGGGTATACCTCGGGTGGACCTAGTGGTGCTGATGCTGCTGGTGGCTCTGCTGCTGCCCCTGCTGCGGCCCGTGCTGCCGCCTCTGCTACAGCTGCTGGTTTAGGTGGTGGGTCTGCTAGTGCCCCTGCCGCTGCTGCTGATACTATGGGGGTTGAGGCTAAGTGGTGGCGGCGGGTGTCACTTCAACTGGAGGACGCAGGGCTAAGCGGCAGGCGGGAGGACACAGGGCTAAGCGGCAGGCGGGAGGACACAGGGCTAAGCGGCAGGCGGGAGGACGCAGGGCCAAGTGGCAGTGGCGTGGGGAGTGTGGGAGGGGTGGGTTCCTCCGGTGGTGGTGGTGGGGGTGGTGGGGCTGGTAATGATGTGGTTAGTGGGATCAGTGGTGCTGCTGCTGCCACAGATGCGGCTACAGGTGCTGCTGCTACAGATGCTGCTACAGGTGCTGCTACAGGTGTTGCTACAGGTGCTGCTACTGGTGGTGCGGCTACTGGTGGTGCCACAGGTGCTGCAGGTAAGGAGGAGGGAAGGACGGCTGGGAAGGGAAGAGCCGAGGAGAAGAGAAGGGTTGGGGAGGAGGAGAGGAGTGTGGGCGCGGAGAACAAACGGTTTGGGGAGGTGCTGAGGGGTGTGGGGGCGGAGAAGAAATGGTGTGGGGAGGAGGAGAGGAGTGGGAAGAAGGAGAGGAGTGGGGAGGAGAAAAGGAGGGCGGGGAAGAAGAGGAGAGAGGAGGAAGATGCAATGGTTGAGGAGCAGAGGGCGGAGAGGGCAGAGACGGGAATGGCGAGGCAGGGGAGAGTTGAGGAGGAGAGGGTAGTCCAGGAGAAGACAAGAGTACAGGAGAAGACAAGAGTACAGGAGAAGGCTACAGCTGAGGACGAGAGGGCAGGGGAGGAGAGGGTAGCTCAGGAGAAGGCAAGAGTAGAGGGGAAGGTTATACCTAGAGAAGAGAGGGTGGTGGAGAGGGTAGTGGAGGAGATTTTAGCAGAGAAGAGGGTAGGGGAGGAGAGGGGGGTGCAGCAGGAGAGGGTAGTGGAGGAGAGGGTAGTGGTGGAGAGGGTAGTGGAGGAGAGATTAGCAGAGGAGAGGGTAGTGCAGGAGAGGGTAGTGGAGGAGAGGGCAGTGCAGGAGAGGGTAGTGCAGGCGTTGAGGCGCAACATGGTGAAGTGCTTTGGGAAGGAAGTGGCTCAGCGGATCTTTGCAGCGGTGCAATCACAGGTGCGTGCACCCCCCTTTCTCCTCCTCCCATCCCATCTCTTGTCTCCCCTTCCTCTCTTCCCTCCCTCCCCCTAGACATGATCAAAACGCGATTGCAATTTAAATCGCATCGCATGCAGGTGCGATGTTTAAAAAAGCGATGCGATTTTAAATCGCATCGCGCGATTTATTTTTCCAAAAAAAAAATTCGCACATCGCATTTTACCTGCGATGTATTTATAAATCGCATGCGATATTTAATTAAATCGCAAAATGCGATTTTAAATCGCATCGCGTTTTAAAACAGAATTAAAAAACACCCCAAAAAAACAGAAAAAACCATGGCTGCGGGGAAATTGACTCACGGGCAGTCGTAAGCTAGAGTGCAAATAACCAGTGTGGTTTCGTAGTGGGTTTCAGAGTTGGTTTCAGTGCAATATCGCGCGCGATTTTTTAAAAATCGCATATCGCATTTAAATCGCGTTTTTTAAGCGCGATTAAAATGCGATTTAAATTAAATCGCGCGATATTAATTCATCGCATCGCGCGATGATTAAAAAAAAAAAAAAAAAACATCGCCATCGCGAAAACGCGATTAAATGCGATGCGATGCGATTTTTTTTGCCCATGTCTACCTCCCCCTCCACTCGCGAGGAGTCTATTTTTGAGGCGCCTAAAAAATAGTCTTCTTTTGAGGCGCCTCAAAAATAGACCCTTTCTCTTTCTCCCATCCCGTCTCTTGTCCCCCCTTCCTCTCTTCCCTCCCTCCCCCTCCCCTCGCCCTCCCCCAACCCCCACACACTCCCTTCCCTCTCTCCCTCCGTCCCCCCCCTTTTCATCTATCCTCCCCTCCTGTCTCCCTCTCTTCTCCCCGTCCTCCCACTCCCCTCGCGCACCTCTCTTGATTGGCAGGAGGAGGAGAGTGCGCGGCAGATTCGCCAGCTGCATCACCTCACCTCCCCCCTTCTTCCCTATCCTGCGTCACCTTCACCTCCCTTCCTACTTCCTCCCTCCCTCCCTCCCTCCCTCCCTCCCTCCCCACCATCTCTCCCCACTGGCAGGAGGAGGAGTGTGCGCAGCAGATTGGCCAGCTGCATCAATTGCATGAAGTGAGTGTCTGTAATGGCTCTCAACCAACTTGACTTGCGTTGACTTGACTCGACTTGCGTTGACTTGACTGGTTGAGTTGACCTGCAAGCACGCAGATTCGCCAGCTGCATCAATTGTTGCATGCGGCTTGTTGTTCAGTGTACGTTAAACCCGAAACCCTGAACCCCTTCCCCCCATTCTTACAGAGGCAGCAGCAGCTTCTTTCGAGCCTACCAAAACGATCAGCAGGAGCCTCCCCTTCGACAGGAGTCGTTCCATCAACAGGAGCCTCTCCTTCCTCCGTGTCTCCTGCTGTAGCAACTTCTGCCACCCACCCTCCTCCTCCTCCTGCTGCTGCTCCTCCTGCTCCTCCTTTTTCTCCTCCTCCTCTTCCTCCTCCTCGCTCCTCCTCCCGCTCCCCTCTCCCGCGCTCCCCTCTATCCTGCAACAGGCCCGCACCCAGTAAGTTCTTGTGTGTCCTCCTAACTCAATGAGTGCTTGTGTATCCCACACCCGGTGCTTAGTGTGCGTTCTGGTACCCTGCACTCAGTGTGTCGCCTGTTATCCCACCGTTATTACTTAGTATGTCCTCTTGCCCCCACCACCCCCCCCCCCCCCCCCCCCTTCCTCCTCCCCCTCCCCCCCCCCCTTCGTTCTCCCTGGCAGCGTTTAACCCGCCTGAGAGCTGGGCTCGGGCCGTCTATGCGTCCAACGGCGCCCCTGACCTCAATGCAGATCCTGAAGCTGATCTCGCGGGCGCTGGCTCTTCAGACGCAGGAGCAGGCGCAGGCACTACGGGAGCAGGAACGGGCGCAGGAGCAGGAGCAGGAGCAGGAGCAGGAGCAACAGGAGCAGGAGCAACAGGAGCAACAGGAGCAACAGAAGCAACAGGAGGAGCAGGAGCAACAGGAGCAACAGGAGCAACTGGAGCAGGAGCAACAGGAGCAACAGGAGCAACAGGAGCAATAGGAGCAACAGGAGCAACAGGAGCAGCAGGAGCAAGAGAAAAAGGCGCAGGAGAGACAGGAGAAGCAAGAGCAGGAGCAGCAGGAAGCACTTTGGGTGATGGGGATGATGGGAAGAAGCACTTACAGCATGACCCTGGCAGCCTTCACCTTTTTAGAAAGAGGGGCCATCCTGATTCCAATAGAGAGGAGAGAGCGGATGAAGCAGAGAGAGAGGGGGCAAACGAGAGAGGAGAAAGAGGAGATCGGGAGCACGGTAGGTCGAGCAAGAGGGGTAGGGGAGGCTTGGATTTCGACCTGGAGTCCGAACCTGCTGCTGAGGCTCGGACAAATGGGAGTAGGTCAGGTTTTGATCTGGAGTCCGTTCCAACGGCTGAGATTGATGAGGGAGGAGGCGGAGGATCTGGACGGCAAGGGCTTGACTTGGAGCAGGATCCAACGGCTGAGATGGCATCAGAGGAAGATCTACGGCCGGGAAGGGTAGCAGGAGTCTGTAACGATTACCTTGAGCTGAACTTCGGCTTCAAGGGGGCAGAAGAGAAAGCTAGAGAGAGGATTGGCAGCAAACTGGGGACTGAAGAGAGTGCCAGGAAAGGCACAGAGGAGACTGACACGAAGACTGACACGAAGACTGACACAAGGGCTGACACAAAGACTGACACAAAGACTGACACAGAGCCTGGCACAACGCTGCACACAGAGCCTCGCGTAGAGCCTCGTGTAGAACGCCACCCAACAACACTTGAGATGTGTCACAGGGATCACGCTGAGATTGGTACAGAGGCGCGCACAGCGATGGGCCCTAAGCCTATGGAAGCAAGCAGAAAGGAGTTTGGTGCAGGGCTATGTCTGTCTCAGCCTAGCAGGGAACGCAAACGAGGAACTAGTGTAGACGCCAGTAACGCCTGTGACGCTGGTAACACCGGTAACGCCAGTAACACTGGTAGCGCCAGTGTAGTGAGTGTTGAGGCGGCTCAAGAGTTGAATACAGAGAGAGCTGAGACTGCAACGTTGAAGAGGATGGGTCTGGAGGGGCCTCAGGTGTGGAGCAGAAAGAAAGGTGCAAGTGAAACGCTGGGGATGATGGGTCTTGCGGCGCCTCAAGAGTTGAATACAGAGAGAGCTGCGACTGCAACGTTGAAGAGGATGGGTCTGGAGGGGCCTCAGGTGTGGAGCAGAAAGAAAGGTGCAAGTGAAACGCTGGGGATGATGGGTCTTGCGGCGCCTCAAGAGTTGAATACAGAGAGAGCTGCGACTGCAACGTTGAAGAGGATGGGTCTGGAGGGGCCTCAGGTGTGGAGCAGAAAGAAAGGTGCAAGTGAAACGCTGGGGATGATGGGTCTTGCGGCGCCTCAAGAGTTGAATACAGAGAGAGCTGCGACTGCAACGTTGAAGAGGATGGGTCTGGAGGGGCCTCAGGTGTGGAGCAGAAAGAAAGGTGCAAGTGAAACGCTGGGGATGATGGGTCTTGCGGCGCCTCAAGAGTTGAATACAGAGAGAGCTGCGACTGCAACGTTGAAGAGGATGGGTCTGGAGGGGCCTCAGGTGTGGAGCAGAAAGAAAGGTGCAAGTGAAACGCTGGGGATGATGGGTCTTGCGGCGCCTCAAGAGTTGAATACAGAGAGAGCTGCGACTGCAACGTTGAAGAGGATGGGTCTGGAGGGGCCTCAGGTGTGGAGCAGAAAGAAAGGTGCAAGTGAAACGCTGGGGATGATGGGTCTTGCGGCGCCTCAAGAGTTGAATACAGAGAGAGCTGCGACTGCAACGTTGAAGAGGATGGGTCTGGAGGGGCCTCAGGTGTGGAGCAGAAAGAAAGGTGAAAGTGAAACGCTGGGGATGATGGGTCTTGCGGCGCCTCAAGAGTTGAATACAGAGAGTGCTGCGACTGGGACGTTAGGGAGGATGGGTCTGGAGGCGGCTCAAGAGTTGATGAGGCAGAAAGGTGAAATTGATACGTTGGGGATGAGTCTTTCGGCACCTTGTGAGTTGAATACAGAGAGAGTTGGGAGTGGAACGTTGAGGATGCTTTTATGGGGGACGGATGAGGCGGGGAGCGGGGAGAGGCGGTGGAGGGATCAGGGGGAGGAGGGTGAGGAGAGGGGGGAGGAGAGAACGAGGGAGGAATGGACGAAGGGGGGAGAGAAGAAAGGGGGAGAGAAGAAAGGGGGAAGCAGGAAGGTAGAGGGGAGGAGGAGGGGGATGAGAAAAGTGGGGTGGGGCAAGAGGAAGGGGAGAGAAGGGATGGAGTAGAGTTGAAGGAGAAGGATGGAGAAGGGGCGGGAAGGGAGGGGGCGGGAGAGGAAGGGGTTAACGTGGAAGGGGGTAGCCCGGAAGGGGAGAAAGAGGAAAGTAAGAGCGGGGAAGGGGAGGAGGAGAAAGGGGAGAAGGAGAGAGGGGAGAAGGAGAAAAGGGCGAAGGAGAAAAGGGAGAAGGAGAAAGGGGAGGAGGAGAAAGGGGAAGTGAAGAAAGAGGGAGGAGGAATGGTCGAAGGGGAGGAGGAACGGAAACGAGAAGGCACGAGTAACGAAGGGTTGCCAGGAGAAAGGGAGAAGAAGGAGAGGGAGACTGAGAGAATAAAGGACGAGGGAATGAAGAAGGTCACGAAGGATGCAGTCACAGCAGGGGAGGAAGGTGAGAAAGAGGAGCAAGCGAGAGGGGTTAGGGAGACGGAGGAAAGAAATAGAGGCGGAGAAAAGGATGCAGTCACAGCAGGGGAGGAAGGTGAGAAAGAGGAACAGGGGAGAGGGGACGAGAGGGATGCAGTTACAGTGGAAGAGGAAGGAGAGAAGGTGGCAGAGGGGAGAGGGGACGAGAGGGATGCGGTTACAGTGCAAGAGGAAGGAGAGAAGGTGGCAGATGGTGAGGGGAAGAAACCTCATGAGTTTAGAGGAGTGAGGGAGAGGAAGGGAGGGGAAGAAGGAGTACAGGAGATGAGGGAAGGGAAGGATGCAGTCACAGCAGGGGAGGAAGGGGAGAAAGGGGGAGATGGTCAAGAAAAGAAACTTGATGAATTCTTGGGAGAAGGGGAAGAGGGGAAGGAAGGGGAGAAAGCGGAGCCGGAGAGAGGGGGAAAGGAGGAGGAAAGTGAGGGAGTGGAACAGGAGGAAGAGAACAAGGAGCAGGAGGTAAGGCAGGAAGAGCAGGAGGAAGGGAAGGACGAAGAAGGGGTTAAAGTTGAAAGGGGAAACAAGGAAGCGGATAAAGAGGAGATGGGGAAAGGGGAGAGAGGCGAAGGGCGAAGAGGGGACGGGAAGAGCCAGGAAAGCGAGCGAGACTATGTGGGAGGCACGGAAGAGGAAAGGGAGAAGGAGGAAGGGGAGAAGGAGGAAGGGGAGAGGGAGGAAGGGGAGAAGGAGGAAGGGGAGAAGTTGGCAGAGGGTAAAGCAGAGGCTGGAGGTGATGAGAACAGGGTGAGAAGGGAGGAGGGAGAAGCGGTGGTAGAGAATGCAAGAGAGGAGGTAGGGAAGCGGCCACGGAAATCGGAGGAATTATACGGGAGGGATGCGACGAAGGGCAGGTCTGAGGAGAAGCCAGGGAAGGATGTGCTCCTAAAGGAGCAGGAAGTGATAGTAAAGGAAGAGGGGAAGGAGAAGCATGTAGGGTCTGACGGGAGAGAGGGGGGGGGAAGAAGTGGGATTGACATCCGGCTTGGGAATGAGCTGGGGAAGGAGATAGAGAAGGCAGCGCTGGAGAATGTGAGCAAGGCAGAGCTCGGTGTGACTGACGGGATAGAGACAGAAGGGGTGGAGAAGGGGCGGATTATTGGAGAAGAGAAAGAGGGTGAAGAGACGCCAAGAAAAGAAGCGGAAGAGAACGTGGCGGAAGAGAGGGCGAGGTTTGCTCCCACGCTTAATCCGGAGAAAGTGGGAGGGAGAGAGCTCAGCGGAGGAGGGAGGAATGTCGAGTCGACGTCCGTGCCTGGTAGTGCAGGGAGTGGAGGGAAGGGTTTGGAGGGGCGCTCGCAGGGAGCTGAAGGAACGGAGGGTTTGAGCGAGTGTGCTGGTCTATATGAGGTTGAAGTGGCAGGGAAGGGTGATAGACATGCTCATGCTGCTGCTCCTGCCGCTGCTCCTGGTGATTGTGCTGCTGTTGGTGGTGATGGTGGTGGTGGTGCCATTCCTGGTGCTGCTGGTTCTGCTGCTGGTGGCACTGATGGTGGTGGTGCTGCTGCTGTTGCTGCTGTGGCTACTGATAGAGTAGCTAATGTGGGTGGGGACGGGCATGGTGGTTCTCCAGAGGACAATAGACAGCGAGAGGGCGGTGGCACAATGCAGTGTGACTCTATCAAGGGTGACTCAAGAGAGTGTGGTCCCAGCGGTGCTTCTGATGGGGCACAAGCTGCACTAGACTTGGGGAAACTTGAGGCTGGGGAAAGAAAGAGAGGGAAGTTGGATTTGGGGGAAGCGAGAGAGGGTGGTAAGGCAGTGAAGCGGAGGGAAGATGAGGAGGGGGAAGTTGATAAAGGGGAAGGAAGATGAGACGGGGAAGGAGGAAGAGAAGAGCCGCAGCAGGCAGCAGGTCTAGGGAGGAAGCAGGCACTTCGGCCGCAGCAGCGGCAGCAGCAGCAGCGGTCGCAGCAGTACAACAAGAGAAAGGGGGAGCGGCCAAAGTGGAGGAGGGAGGTGAGAAGAAGGGACGAGTAGAGGATGAAGCTATGCTTGCCATGAGCTTGTAGCCTCCATCCATGTGGGTATTCGGTTGGTGCAGTAATGGATGGTAGTACTAGCCTAGCTTGGGTAAGAAAGGGCAACGAGGAACAACAGATAATTGCAGTGCATCTGCAAGGGGACGAGTGCAGGAGATGTGAAAAAGTGGGAATGGGGACGAGTGAGCAAGAGAAAGGAGGTCATGGGGTAGGGGCTCATTAAAAAGGAATGGGAGCTTGATGAATGTGTGGCATGTTCGATGCCAGTTGGAACTTGGAAGGCGAGTGAGTAGTGGTAACCCAGGAGGCACCCAAGCACAACAGAGTACATGAAGCATGTGGAGGCGAGCACGGTAGTGGAAATATGTTAAGGGTATGTGATAGAGTTCTGTTTTGAGGCGCCTCAAAACTAGATGTTAAGGGTGTGATAGAGTTCTGCTGCTTTGATTCCGCCATGTGAATATGCAAGACTGCTAGGGAAGTAGGTAGTGAGGGTGATTCTTCAAAAGATCTTCATGAGACCATTAGGCAGAACTGGTTGTTTTGCTGAACCGCTTTGTGTAACTACATCTGTACCACTATCCTAATCTTAATTCGTCTTTATCGGTGGTCGTTGTGGAGCAATCTGCGTCGGTGAGCTCACGGTCAGCAGGGAGCCATGAGTGCCACCTCGTTACAGTGGTTCGGGTCCACCCTCCTCGAACCGCCTGTAAGCTTCCGCCAATAAAAGGTGGCCACGCGCCTAATGGACTCTTGAAAGCGCCTCCCCTCTCGCGACGCGCCCGCGTCTCGCAGAAGCTCTTTCGCAGAAACCGACGGCGAAAGTCGTAGGTCCAGTCGACAAAATCCTCTTGGCCCAAATGAACACGGCTGGGCGAATTTGCCTCACGTCAACCGAATTTTGAACTTATGACCGCTCTAGGGGTGGTATTCTTTTCTGACCGCAGAGTTTCTGTTTCTGGGGTATTTACGTCTGGTTGTCTCGAACACTTGGGTCTCTTTATGTCACATCTTAGGAGGACTGGCTTTGAATAATACATATTTTCTGCCCTTCCTCATCCCATGAGCCAAGTCAGGTCAACTGTGTTCACTCTACCTGTGTTCCCTCATCCCCTCTCTTCACCCAACTGACAGAAGCAGATGAACGGAGAACCCCCGTGATCACAGCTCCATCCATTCATCCCTTGGGACTGTCGTTCCCTGCGTCCTGTCCTCGGGGAACTGACTCAGTTCCTACCTAGACACTCCATCCACATGTCTCCATTCCTCGCAACATTTTTTTCCCATGCCTCCGCAGTACTGTGAGTCAAACCTATGAAGCTCTTCTCTCCTCCCCTCTCCACCGGAACCATCCGAAGGGCTTCTGTATTGATCAGCTCACGCAACACATAAGGATATTGGATGCGCCTGAACTGTACTGCTGCTTTTGGGCTTCCCCCACCCCCCCATCAGCTCTAACTTTGGTCGTTGTTTCTATCGCCTCGTTTGACCCGTTACAGCTGGCGTGAACTCGCGGGAGTAGGCCTCTAAGAAGCGGGACCCGTTACATCCCTCGCTGACACGCGACGTTCTGGCACATGGAAATGTCGTTACAATGCTCCTGTGACTCCTAAGTGACACGGGAGTTGTCGCAGCGCCCTAAACCTTGACACCATAGCAGGCGAAATACGACTCCTAGTCGAGCTGGGGAGAGGCTCCTAGTCCACCTTAGACCTGCTGACTCTCCAAGTGCACCTATTGTAGGAACCGCCATGGTTTTCGACCATAGAACCAAGCTTCGACGCTGCCGTTTCCGCGAGGATATGAGGCATGATTCGCAGTTTAAACAACCCTTTCAACCTTCATCGGTATCCCGTCAGTTCCCGCTAGCGTTACTTCTTCTCGCCGCTCTCCTAGGAATCCTACTACCATGTCAATCCCAAGCTGTTAAAACTTCCATACCCATTACAAGCGCCACCAATCCCGCTACAAGACCTGGTTCTAAACTCGGTTCTAAACCTGTTCGATCTCTCCGCTCGCTCGTCGAATCTCAGCCGTCCGATGGGTCATCCTCGCTCGTAGTCCTCCCCGTCACCCACTCCTACGCGCATCTCCCCGAAAGCTCCTTCCACGCGCGGCACGGCCGGCCACGTGGCGTCATGACCGCGAATCACGCTCGGCTGCTAAAGCTACACGATCGCCGCCGGCTCCTCCGTCTCCAGCAAAACTCTCCCTCCGCAAAAACCAGCGCGGGAAGCGGCGCGGTTAGGGCGGGAACAGGGGATTGGACGATCGGAGCAAGCGCGGGGAACGGATCGCTGGCGGAAGGAACGGTGACTGAAGTGGGAGGCGGGGCGTTCTACCAACTAGGAGGCAATATGGAGATGACTATAGCAGGGTAGGTGCTACCCGAGGTGACTATAGCGGGGTAGTACGGCAGTGGTGACTGTAGGGGGGGCGTGTATGATTGGGGATGACACTGACAAGAGCACATGTGGGAATTTCTGTTGACTCGTGCACTTTTCAGAACCCATGCATGGCAAGGGATGCGTTATACAGCACCTCGTTACCAGAATTAGCATGCGCTTGTGTTGATTGAGGAGTACTATTGCTGTGACCTCGCACTCTCCCTCATTCTTCTCCCTGTCAACCTCCCCCCGCCTCCCCATTTCATCCTCGTTATACGCGCCAACCCTGATTGGACTTACACTGAACCCTTCCTGCCCGCCGTTCCCTACCCCCAGCCTCTATTGGGCGGAGGTGCAGCTCGGGCAGCCCGTGCAAAAGTTTAAGGTGCAGATAGACACGGGCAGCGACGTGATGTGGGTCACCTGCGCGCCCTGCCTCGCCTGCCCTGTCGGCTCCACTGTGGTACGTTTTGCTTTTCATCTGGGGTTGAAGTGGGAAGCGGGAGGGGGGGAGAGAGGTGGGGGGAAGAGATGGGGGGAGAGGTGGGGGGAAGAGATGGGGGGAGAGGTGGGGGGAAGAGATGGGGGGAGAGGTGGGGGGAAGAGATGGGGGGAGAGGTGGGGGAAGGGGGAGTGGGGGAGGGGAAGGGGGGGGGGTGGGTTGGGGGGGAGATTGGGAGGGGGAGGGGGGGAGGGGAGGGAAGGAGACGAAGGACGAAGGAGAGGGGTGGGGGTGAGAGTGGGGGGCAGAGGGGCAGCCCGTGCAAAAAGACACAGGGGCGTGAGGGAGGGAGTGGGGTGGGAAAAACGGAGGGGAAAGGGAGGGGTGAGGGGGAACCTGCCTCGCCTGCCCAGTGTCCTCCTCTATGGTACGTGCCCTGTCCTTTTGTATATTGGGCCGTGAGGGAGAAAAAGGGGGAGGGGGAAAGGGGAACCTGCCTCGCCTGCCCAGTGTCCTCCTCTATGGTACGTGCCTTGTCCTTTTCTGTAAGCGGGGTGAGGGAGGGCAAGGTAAACAGGGAAGGGGAACCGGCCTTCCTGCCGGGTCTCCTCCACCAGGGTACGTGCCTCTTTTTTTTACTACCTGATGGGGGTGAGGGGTAGGGATGGGGTGGGGGTGGGGTGGGATGAGGTGGGAGGCTGGGGCGGGGTTGTTAAGGGAGAAACAAGAGTTAAAGGTGGAGGAGAAGGGGAAAGTGGGGTTTGGTGAGGAATGTGGGAGCGATGTCAAGGAAGCTTGTTATTTTGTTTTCTTTGCTTTTTTTTAAAACAAGTCCAGCACCTTTCAGCCTTTGGTTGTATCGCTATCATCGCCGCGGGCCTCTACAACATGTCCCCTTTATAAGCCGTCCTTGTTTGTCTCGTCGTGTCGCATGCTCAAGACCCCCCCCCTCTTCTCTTCTCCTGCAGGTCCTTGCTGTTCCTTACGATATCTCCAAGTCGTCAACAGGACAGGTCAGTTGGGTGGACAGTGGGTGGGTGGGAGTCTTGTGGAGATGATTGTTTTTCGTAACGGATGGGTTTTGCACGTCTCAAGTGCGTCTTTATGACTGCAACTGCACTTACGTCCTTCTGAAGCACGCGCTTCTGTCGACGAGCTCGCAGCTATAACGACACCATTTTCCTGCTTACCCTCCTCATGCCTCTCTTTCCCGACTGCCCAGGTGATCGACTGCACCACCACCACCTGCTCGGCCCTGCAGCAAACCAGGCGCACGCTGGGCCAGGGGTGCCTGGACATTCTGTACCCCAACTCCCCGGACCCGCGGTGCTACTACGGCATCCAGTACGCCGACAACTCCACCAGCACGGGCTACCTCGTGAAGGACAGATTGACCTTCGCTACCCTCGGAGGGGAAGCTGCTACTATGGACTACACGTTCGGGTGAGTGGGAGGGGGAGGGGAGGGGAGGGGAGGGGAGGGGAAAAGAGGCAGGGAGTGTGTGGCCAGTCAGCCTGATCCCCAGGTGAGGTGGCAGGACCCGCGGTGCTACTACAGCATCCAGTACGCCGACAACTCCACCAGCACGGGCTACCTCGTCAAGGACAGGCTCACGTTTGCTACTCTCGGGGGGGATGCTGCTACTATGGACTATACCTTCGGGTGAGTGAGAGGGGGAGGGGAGGGGAGTGGAGGGAGGGGAGTGGAGGGGAGGGGAGGGAGGGAGGGAAGGGGAATGGAGTGGAGGGGAGGGGAGGGGAGTGCAGTGGAGGGGAAGGGAGTGGAGGGGAGTGGAGTGGAGGGGAGGGGAGGGGAGGGAAGGGGAATGGAGTGGAGGGGAGGGGAGGGGAGTGCAGTGGAGGGGAGGGGAGGGGAGGGGAGTGGAGGGGAGGGGAGGGGAGTGGAGGGGAGGGGAGGGAAGGGGAGTGGAGGGGAGGGGAGGGAAGGGAATGGAGGGGAGGGGAGGGGAGTGCAGTGGAGGGGAGGGGAGGGGAGGGAAGGGATGCCGGGGTGTCAGGTGTCAGGGCTCAGGGCGTCTCTTGCCTGAGAATGGGTCTCTATCTTAGTAACTCTCTCCTGTGGTGCATTCCCCTCTCCCCTCTCCCCTCTCCCTCTCCCCTCTCCCCTCTCCCCTCTCCCCTCTCCCCTCTCCCCTCCCCTTCTCTCCTTCACCAGGTGCGGCTTCAAACAATCCGGTAACCTGGTAACGGGCAACCACCTGGTGGACGGGGTGATGGGGCTCAACATGGGGTCGCTGTCCATGCTGACGCAGATGCATGCCGCCAGGAAGACCAACGGGGTGATGGGGGTGGCTGATCATGGGCTATCCCTCCCTTTCCCCTCTCCTTCGTTCTCCCCTCTCCCCTTCTCTCCTCTCCTCTCGCCCTCACCAGGTGCGGCTTCAAGCAGTCTGGTAACCTGGTATCCGGAAGTCACCTGGTGGACGGGGTGATGGGGCTCAACATGGGGTCGCTGTCCATGCTGACGCAGATGCAGGCCGCCAGGAAGACCAATGGGGTGTTTGCACACTGCCTGGGAGGGGAGGAGCTGGGAGGGGGGAGCCTCATATTTGGAACTGTCTTGGAGGATGGGCTGCTGTACACGGGCTTACTGGACGACAGGTAATGAGGGAGTGAATAGTGCTTATGAGCTGGATTTGCTTGGTGGGGGCGAGGAGCTGGTCGGAGGGAGTCTCATCTCATCACTGGAGGTGTCTTGGAAAGTGGGCTGCAGTACACGGATATACTGGAGGACAGGTGAGGGCCTTAAGTATGGGTAATACATTACTTTACATCCATTCCCTTGGGATTGTGACCATGCCACATCACACTGTTGAGCCGCCTCAAAAACAGGTGAGGGGCTTAAGTATGGGTATTACATTACATTACATCCCTTGGGATTGGGACCTTGCTGCAACACACTGTGGGTCGCACTACCGCGTGCAGCTCAAAGGCGTTCCAGCGGTGGGTCAGCGTCTGCCTGATCTCCCCAACTATCTGTCACCCCAACTGTCACCCCAACTGTCCGTCACGTCACCCCAACTGTCACCCCAACTGTCACCCCAACTGTCACCCCAACTGTCACCCCAACTGTCACCCCAACTGTCACCCCAACTGTCACCCCAACTGTCACTCCAACTGTCACCCCAACTGTCACCCCAACTGTCACTTTAACTGTCACCCCAACTGTCACCCCAACTGTCACCCCAACTGTCACCCCAACTGTCACCCCAACTGTCACCCCAACTGTCACCCCTGCTTCCCTGAAGCCTGTTTTGAGGCACCTTTCAGACCATTATTGTTTCACCCGAAAGCGTCAATTCAAACTTGCACCCCAAACCCTTGCCCGAAACCCCAAGCCCCAAACCCTTGCCCCAAGCCCCAGGCCTTCTCCAACCAGCCCAAACCCCAAGCCTTCAACGCCTGCCTGCCTGCCAGCTGTCACGAGTACGTACGTGCAGCTAAATGGCATGTCCCTGATAGGCCTATTATTGAGGCGCCTCAAAATTAGCCTTCGAAGCCCCAAGCCCCAAGCCCCAAGCCTTCTCCAACCCAAGCCAAGCCCCAAGCCTTCTCCAACCCAAGCCAAGCCCCAAGCCTTCTCTAACCCAAGCCAAGCCCCAAGCCTTCTCCAACCCAACCCAAGCCCCAAGCCTTCTCCAACCCAACCCAAGCCCCAAGCCCTCTCCAACCCAAGCCCCAATCCCTCTCCAACCCAAGCCCCAAGCCTTCAACGCCTGCCTGCCAGCTGGCCCTAGTAAGTACGTGCAGCTAGATGGCATGCCCCTGGCGGGCCAGCGCCTACCTCGTCACTCCAAACCCCTGGCCAAACCCCTGCCAAACCTCTGCCAAACCCCTGCCAACCCCCTGCTAAACCCCTGCTGAACCTCCTGCCTGCCAAACCCTTGCTAAACCCCTGCCAAACCCCTGCTAAACCCCTGCTAAACCCCTGCCAAACCCCTTGCTAAACCCCTATTAAACCCCTGTTAAACTCCTGCTAAACCCCCATCAGGTCGCACTACTACGTGCAGCTCAACGGCATCTCAGTGGCGGGGCAACGCCTACCTGGCATCGACCAATCATCGTTCTCCTCGCAGACCGACGTCTTCGGCTCTGGCAGCTTGCAAGCAGGGGGGGTGATCATCGACAGCGGCACCACCCTTGCCATGTTCCCCACACCTATTTACACTGCATGGCTGCAGGCGGTGAGTCTTAACTCACCTCGAAACAACATGTGGGCGTGTGCACCGCTGCGAGCAGTGTGGGTATGGTTGACTGACTGATGATTGCCAGTAAGGTGTGCTGGATCTAGCAGTCAGCCTGCAGTCATAAGGGGGGGTGATCATCGACAGCGGCACCACGCTGGCCAGGTTCCCCACTCCCATCTACACCGCATGGCTGCAAGCTGTAAGTTCTTACCTACTTGGGTGGTTGCTAGGAGGGCGTTTCGGGTCTATCAGTCAGCCTGCAAGGGGGATCTTCGACAGCAGCACCACGCTTGCCATGTTTCCCCCATTCCCCCCATCTACACCGCATGGCTGCAGGCAGTGATTCGTGAATGAGTAGTCGTGTTTGAGATGACATGCACGGTGCATCTATCCATCAGCCAGCCTGGGGTCAGGGGGAGTGGGATGACTGACTGTGTGAAGTCCTAGAGGAGTCTTGAATGAGTTGGCGTGTCTGCGATGACATGCATGTGATGAAACATGAGCAAGATGGCCACCACACTCATCGCATGTTACACCTGCATGTCACATTGTCACCACACTCATCGCCTCGTGTGTGCATGTTGCATGTCGCACTTTGTTGCACGTTGTACGTTGCACGTTGCATGTTGCATGTTGCAGGTTGCAGGTTGCACGTTATGTTGCAGGTTGCAGGTTGCAGGTTGCACGTTGCATGTTGCACGTTGCACGTTGCATATTGTCCACCAATCAGTCAGCGTGCAGCTGCGGCTCACCACACTCATCGCTCATCGCCCTATTTTTTCGGACGCCACTCGCACTCCAGATCAGACCGCTTTGGAACATCTCTCAAAAACCCTCCATGCTCCCGTCCCTCCCGGGGATGCTCTCTCCATCTGTCAGGTCAACCCAAGTGGACGACACTTTGGAACATCACTACGCTCATCGCCCTACCCAAGTGGACGCCACTCCAGACTTTCTCTGCCATGACTCTCAGTAGTCTAGTTTTGAGGCGCCTCAAAAGTAGTTCTCTCCATCCCTTCCCTTCACCACTTCACACTTTCTCCCTCCCTTTCTCCCCTGCCCCCAACCCCCTCCCCTCCCTTTTTCCCTCTCTTCCCCCCGCCCGCCCCCCCCCCCCCCGCCCCCCCCCCCCCCCCACCCACCACCGGTGTCCCTCTTGTAGGTCACCTCTCTCATCACCCTACCCCAAGTGGAAGCCACGTCAGACTTTCTCTGCTATGACTTTGGCTCCAAGTGAGTTGCGCGCGCCTCACGCCCACTCTCCTCTCGAGTCTCTCCTTCCTCCTCTCCTTGGCACTCCTTCCTTACGTCACGCATGGCCTTAACCCACTGCTTGTTCTCTGCTTTGTCACCCATCACTCTCACCCTTATTGACCCTGATCACCGTTTTTGTGATAGAATCTTAGTTCTGAGATGTCTTAAAACTAAACTTGCTATGTTCTCCCCTTAAGCTGTTACACTACTACACTCCCTCTGCAAATCCCTCTGCAACCCCCTTTTCCCCTCACAGCAAATACGAGGAACTTACCAAGTACTTTCCAACAGTCACCCTTCACTTTGACGGGGCTGATATGACTATCAACCCCCCGGGCTATGTCTTCCTGCACTCGAGCGTGAGTCTTCTCTCCCCTCCCCTCATGCACTTGAGCATGAGTCTTTCTTCCTCTCCCCTCCTGCAATCCAATGTGAATCTTCCCTCCCCTGATCAGGGAGCTCTCCTTCCCCTTATGAGCTCTCCTTCCCCTTATGAGCTCTCCTTCCCCTTAGGAGACAGTGCCTCTGCTGACATTTGGGCTGACATGACTGACCATTGACCCCCTGCCCTGCCCTGCCCTGCATCTTCTTGCAAACTTGTGCGAATCTTACATCCCCTCCCCTCATGCAATCCGGCGTGGATCTTCTGTGCCCTAATCAGCTCTCCTTCCCCTAATGAGCTCTCCTTCCCCTAATCAGCTCTCCTTGAGCTCTCCTTCCCCTAATGAGCTCTCCTTCCCCTTATGAGTCAGTGCCTCTGCTGACATTTGGGCTGACATGACTGACCATCGACCCCCCGGGCTATGTCAATGCATTCCGAAGGACGTCCTCTCCCCCCCCCCCCCCCCCCCCCTTCCCTCCCCCCATTTTTCTTGTCTGGCCATTTGTGTGGCAGGGTTCGGTCATGGCTGCGTGCATCGGATGGCAAGCCATGCTCGGAGGAGACTTCTCCAAAATCACTGTCATTGGAGGTACACCTTGCATTTTTTCTTTTTCTCGGTCTGTTTTACTTCACCATACCTGCCATGCCACCATACCTACCACCATACCTTGTGTTTTCTATCCACGATTCTGGGTGATTAGTCGCTCTCAGAACAAGCTGGTGGCGTTGTCACCAGTCACTCTCACCGTCTCCTTGTCTCCCTGTCTTCCTCTCTCCCTCTCTCCCTCTCTCCATGCCTCCCTGTCTTCCTCCTGCCGTCCTTCGTCTCCCCGTGATCTCCCCATATCCCTCCGTTCTCCCCATATGCCCCCCTCCCAGTCATTGTCTAGCGCAACAAGCTAGTTTTGAGGCACCTCAAAGCTAGTAGTGTGCGTGTGACACTGACAACACGAAGCTGGATTTGAGGCGCCTCAAGCTCAGATGGGCGCCATGCAATGCGACGACTCTCCTTCGCCTGCTCCCTTACACCCCTCTGTCCTCATGCCCCTCCCCTCTAACCATCTACCCCACTACACCCCCACCCCCCTTCCCCCCGTTGAAAGATATTGTGCTACGCAACCATCTGGTAGTTTACGACACCGATAATATGAAACTCGGATGGGCGCCGTACGACTGTGAGTTTCATGTCGCCTGTGGCACGGTTTCATGTCATTCCTGCTACAATCCCATGTCGCCCGCCCGTGTTGTCGCCCGCCCGTGTTGTCGCCCGCCTTAGCACATCCCCCCCTCTCCCCTACGAGACCACTTTTGAGTCGACTCGAAAGACACCTTGTTACAATGTTGCAGTCAGCTCGTCTGTAGCACGTCCTCCTTCTCTCCCTACAAGATATGTTCGCCATGCATCCCTATCCCCATGCATCCCCATGCATCCCCATGTATCCCCATGCATCCCCATGTATCCTCCCCATGTATCCCCATGCATCCCCATGCATCCCCATGCATCCCCATGCATCCCCATGCATCCCCATGCATCCCCATGCATCCCCATGCATCCCCATGCATCCCCATGCATCCCCATGTATCCCCATGTATCCTTCCCATGTCCACCCATCTCATGGGTTCACGCTATTCCCTTCCTTTCCCTCGCCCTCTCGGCGTTTGAGTTGACTCAGAAGCTGTCAGCAACGTTGCAATGTGCAGCGCGCATCTCACGGGTTCGCAATGTGCAGCGCGCATCTCATGGGTTCGCAATGTGCAGCGCGCATCTCATGGGTGCGCAATGCTTTTGAGTCGACTCAAAGGCAATGTGCACCCCTACTCAGATCCTTTTCCCTTGCCCATTCCAGACTAAAGCCTCTATTTTTCCCCGAGTTTTTACGTCTCCTGAACATCCTCTTTATAGGCTCCATGGGCACAGTAACAGCGGATGGCGGGGAATACAGTGTAACCATCATTGTGGGAGCCTTTCTTCACGCCCCTCCAGCCTCCAACTCCGCCCTTTCTGCTGCTCACTGCTCCCCCATATTTCCTTCGTTCCTGCCCCCCCCCCCCACCCCCCCCCTCCTCCACCCTCTCTCTCCAGGCTCCGTGGGTACAATAACAGCGGATGGCGGGGAATACAATGTAACCATCATTGTGGGAGCCAATCTGCAGGCCCCTCCAGCCTCCAACTCCTCCCGCTCAGCTGCTCCGGGTCCCACACTCATGCTCTCGTTATTAGCTGCTGCACTAACGTCTGCAGTCCTGTTTCTTGGTGATGGTGGAGAGGGTTTACCAGCAAATGGTGATCCTGCTTTTCCTGGGGGTTTGTTGCAAGCCGACACATGTAGAGAGCATCGGCATGGTGGCTTGCATGATGGGTCGATGCGATGGTTAGATGGTAATGTGCATTGGCCAAGGCGTGGCATTGATGCAAGCCATGGCATTCTCCATGGTGATGTGTAGTCATTTTTGCAGTTGATACATTCTTATATTCTTACGTCATAGAGCAATCTCTTCTGGGATAATTATTGCTAGCATATTATTTTATCCTTCATATATCCTTTAAGGCCTACATATTCGACAGTCGTCCTCCGCGTTATGACTTCAAGTGGGATATGTTTGTATCCTTCATGTTCATGATTAATAAACTACCTATTTAGCCACCAACTATATTCTGCGGTGTAGATTCACGATTTTCCTTCCTTTGGCGGAGTGCCAAGTCCCATTACTCATCCCTAGATTCCACTCGTTTCTAGACCGCATTCTCGTTTCCTAACCGTTATTCTTGGAGGCGCCTCTTGTCCCTAAATCTTCGGGCGTTCCTCTAGGATATTCTCGATTCTCATATACCGGTACCATTTGAAGCCTCCTGAAATAATGGTTGAAGCCGGCTGTCTCTCCTAAATTCTGGATATTCTCGATTCTCATACACCATTTGAATCCTCCTGGATTTCTGCTCGTGACCGCGACAGCGCGGTGACCTCTCGCCACCCTGATTCGCGCACTCCTACTCCTGCCGCTCCTCTCCCTGCCATACAATCTGCAAATCTTGCGCGCGCTCCCTTTCCCCTTTCCCAACGCATCCGGCGTACAATCTGCGCTGCGCCTCCCCTTCCCCCTCTCCCCCTTTCCCAGCGCATCCGCCTCCCCCCATCACTTCCCCCATGGATGAGACCGACTTTCTTAAAGCCCTGGCGCTTTACCCCACAGTCCGCTCCCGCGATTTCAACGAGAACGACCTCCCAGCCGCCGCCGCTTCATCTCAGCCGTCCGATTCCCAAAAAACAAACTCCAAAAAGGCTGGGTCTCCCAGTGAGGAACCTTCGGCGCAGCAACCAGAGACAGATGCCGCGAGCCTAGGATTTGGAGAAGGGCAGGGAAGCTTCGAAGCAGCTCCTAGGTCGTTCTGGGACGTGCTACAGGAGCGGGTGGAGGCTCTCTTGCCGCCGCGGGACGCGGTGGCGTTCTGCGACGCGTTTAAAGAGTTCCACGAGGAGCTTATAGAGCAGCGGCTGTCGTTGGATGACATTAGAAGGATCGGCAAGCATGGGAAGCTGCAGGTGGTTTAGCTAGTGGGGTGCCGTGGAAGCTCCACGACAAGCATATAGAGCAAGGATTGTCTCGCATTAGGAGGAGCTCTCGTTTAAAGAGCTCGTCGTGTCTTTAGATGGCATTAGGAGGAGTGCCACGCATGCAAAGGAAGGCGGAGGTAGGTTAAACCCAGGGCGGGATTGGCTGTGCGGCATCACTCACAGGAATTCCCCAGGGATTCCCAACCAACGGGTAGGAGGGATGAGGCAGCTGTTGCGACATTTGGGACTGGGACACCGGGGGGGAAAGGGTGGAGTGGAGGAGTGGAGGAGTGGAGGAGACCCTCTTGCCACCAAGGGGTGCCTTGGTGCGTTGCAACGCGATCAGTGGGTTGTAGAGCAGCGGTTGTCGTTGGATGTCATTAGGTTAGGAGGATGGCCAAGCGGGGGAGGCTGAGTACAGTTTAATGCACGATGGAATGGTCTTGCAGGAGAGGCGCCGCTTATTCAGCAAAGGTTGTTATTGGGTTGCCATCGCCAAGCACGGGAAGGTGGCGGGTGTCTTAAGCAAGATGGAATGGTCTCGCAGGGGCTGCCGGGAGGCGAAGACGCATGAAGAGGAGACTCCCTTGCCATGCCACCATTGGATGCGTTCGCTTGTTGAGCAAAGATTGTCGTTGGATTGGATTGGATTGGATGACATAAGAAGTATAGTTGAGCAAGGGAGGCTGCAGGTGGTTGCGCCCGCCCTTGCTGTTCTAGTCAATGGTTCAACGGGTGGAGGGAGTGGATGGAGGGAGGGACCCCTTGCCGCCCAGGGATGCCCTGTTTTGAGGCGCCTCAAAACTAGACTCCTATCACGCGGATTTTGAGGCGCCTCAAAACTAGACGGGTGGAGGGAGTGGTTGGAGGGAGGGACCCCTACATCAGGGAGGGATGCCCTGGCCTGACCTGGCATTTTGTGACTCATTCAAACTTCAAGAGGTTCTCAAGGAGCTTGTTTATCAGATGTTGTCAGTGGATGACATTAGAACTGTTGTTGCCAAAGCCAATGCCAACTTTCCAGTTAAATAGGTTCCACAACGGCATGCTGCCCGCCAGCCAGTCTAAACTACATTACGGTAGTGAAATTGAACATCATTATCACTCGGCGGATTCTTCTTACGTCTTATGTCGTCCTTGGATCTGTGCTGCTTTATTCTTGCCATGGGTGACTCAGGGACGGACGGGAGTCACTTGCTGCTGCTCGCGCCTGGGAAATGGATTGCAAGAGCGCTTCTTCCCAGCTTGGAAAGGGCTTGGCTTACTTCCCAATTTATTAGGCTCCACAGTAGCATACCGCCAGTCTAAACTACCGTATGGAACATCATTCATTGCCGCACCGCTCAGCTGATTCTGACGTCGTCCTTGGATCTGTGCTGCATTATTTTTGTCATGGGCGACTCCGGGACGGGAGCCACCTGCTGCTGCTTGCGCTTGGAAAATGGACTGAAAGAGCGCTTCTTCCCAGCTTGAGAAGGGCTTGGCTTTTCCCCCATCTGCACATTGCAAACATAGAGTGTGCACCGGTATGTGTGTCAAGGGATGGGAAAGAAACAGAACGGAAAGAAAAGAAAAGAAAAGAAGAAGAAGAAAAAATTTGAAAGGCTCATTTATTAGTTGTAGGGCGTGCAGAGGTGGAGTGTAGCTCTGAGGCGTCTGAGTATCAGTGGCACGCGGAATGCGTCTGAGTGTGCGCTCCGTTCAGTTGAAAAACAATTTCTGTCTGCTAGTTTTTGAACAGAAAAGAGTGCGAGAGCAAGGGAGACAGACAGACGGAACGCGTGTACAGACAGACTACAGAGGAAGCGAGGGAACTCATGTGTGTGTACAGAGAGGTACTTACATGGGTAACAAGCGCATATAGGGGCAGAGTGCCGAGGCTGCAGATGAGCAGGGTGATGATCCCGATGGCAAACTTGATTCAGTGTATGGGTGTTGGAAGCTCTTACCAAACAGCATACTCACATGGGTAACGAGCACATAGAGTGGCAGAGTGCTGAGGCTGCAGAGGAGGAGGGTGATGATCCCGATGACAAACTTGATCCACGGCTGCTATGTATGTACAAAGGTACTCACATGTATCACATGTCAGCAGTACTTAGGTACTCACATGGGTAACGAGCGCGTATAGGGGCAGCGTGCTGAGGCTGCAGATGAGCAAGGTGATGATCCCGATGACAAACATGACTCAGTGTGCGTGCGTTGAAAGCGCACACCAAACAACATACTCACTCACATGTCTAACGAGCGCATAGAGGGGGAGTCGACTCAAAATACACCCTGAGTGCTGAGGCTGCAGATGAGCAGGGTGACGATTCCGATGACAAACTTGATTCAGTGTGCGTGCTTGAAAGCTCTCACCAAACAACATACTCACATGGGTAACGAGCGCATATAGGGGCAGAGTGCTGAGGCTGCAGATGAGCAGGGTGATGATCCCGATGGCAAACTTGATCCACGGCACCCAGGTGGAGTAGGACTTGCACTCCGCGTGGTTCATCGCCAAATACTGGTGAGGGAGGGGATGACCGAAGGGAGGAATGGGGGGTGGGGTGGGGTGGGATGGGATGGGGTGGGATGGGGTGGGGTGGGATGGGAATTAGGGCTGTGTATATGTGGGAGAGTGAGTTTGAGTCATGGCATCGGGGAGGAGTAGTGGTAGGAATTTCACTCAGAGTGGTTCATCGCTCGATACTGGTGAGGGGAAGTGGGGGGAGGAGGAGGGGAGGGGGGGAGGGAGAGAGCGGGATGTGAATAAGGGCTGTGTGCATGTGGGATGGTGGGCTTGAGTCACGGCTGCCAGGAGGAGTAGCGGTAGGACTTGCACTCAGAGTGGTTCCTCGCCAGATACTGGTGAGGGGGGGGGGGCAGCGGAAGGGAGGAAGGGGGGGGGGGGTGGGGGGGGGAAGGATGGGAGTTAGGGCTGTATGTATGTGGGGATTGTTGGGCTTGAGTCAGAGCTGCCAGGAGGAGCCCTGGTAGGAATTGCACTCAGAGTGGTTCATCGCCAGATGGTGGTGAGGGGAGGAGGGGAGGGGGGGATGGAGAGTGCGGGGTGTGAATAAGGGCTGTGTGTGTGTGGGATGGCGGGCTTGAGTCACGGCTGCCAGGAGGAGTAGCGGTAGGACTTGGTGAGCTTGGGATGAATGACGAGCCTGATGTGGCTGGCTGCCAGGAGGAATACCAGTAAGGGAGCGAAGCATATTCGTGCTACTTGTGCAATGAGTGATTTCAGGGTATTTTTTAGAATTCTAAAAAATACCAGTACGACTTGCCTTTGCCAGGGAGCGAAGCATGATCGTGCTAGCTACTCATGCAATGGGTGATTTCAAGACGCCTGATGCGTGATAGCTACTTATACTTACACAAAAGGTGATCAAGTTGCCGACCATATAGGAGCTCTGCGTGGGGAAAACAGTGTCGCATATTCGTGCTAGGTACTCATGCAATGAGTGATTTCAAGGCGCCTGATGTGTGTGACAGCTACTTATACTTACGTAAAAGGTGATCATGTTGCCGACCATATAGGAGCTCTGCATGGGGAAAACAGTATTGGGTTAAAGGAGGAGAAAGCAGGCACAACACAAAACAAGAATGAACTAAAAGGCTACACAAGAGGCAAAATAGAAATAAACTCCACGTTTATCAAGTGTATGGTTATATGTTATACAGAAGAAACCAAGATTACCATTTGTAATATCAATTTACATGAACCATGCTTACAACGAAGAGCGCGAAGTGCAGGAGGTGCAGCATGAAGGACGGCCGCTTGAACCAGAAGAGCGACCCGCGGGGCTTTAAGTGGTCGCCCTCGCAGTCCCCCTTCACGTGCGCACTCTCCAGCGCCAGCACCGACACTATGTACTCCAGCTTCGTGCCCACCGCCAGAGTGATCTGTCAAAAAAAAAAAAAACAAAAAAAACAAACAAACAAACCATTAAGGTACAATTTAACAATAGGACAAATGTGCATATGTACCAAATGCTTATAACAAAAGCATGCTTATCAGGTTTGTGCTTATACTGATTTTGCACTTTACTGAGGGTGTGCTTATACCAATACTGCTTATAACGGATATGTGCTATGATACAGATGTGTTTATAGCGAGGATGTGCTTACCAGGAAACCAAGGATGGCAAATATAAAGGAGGTGTCCCACACTGCAGCAGAGAGGGGAGATTAATGAGCAGAGGAGGGATTATTGTAAAGAGGGGTGAGGCGGAATGAGCAGAAGGGCATGACAGGCTGGCAGAGGGCAATGACAGGCTGGCAGAGGGCAATGACAGGCTGGCAGAGGAGTCCGGAAAGCTAAGAAAGGCAGACTGAAGCCTATGACAAGAGGAAATGGGGGTCGGGGTTGAGGGAGTGATCAGCGGGGGGGAGGAAGAGGAGTCTACTTTTGAGGCGCCTCAGAAATGGGGGTCGGGGTTGAGGGAGTGATCAGTGGGGGGGAGCAAGAGAGGCATTGCTGGAGCAGGTGGCAAAGTGGATGAAAGTGGATAAGGATGAATGAACTCAGTGTATTTCGCCTCTGATGTGCATAGAAGGCAAGAAAGAGACTTACGGTAGCTTGTGATGCCGATGATGATAACGAGAGTAATCCACAGATGCCAGCTGGGGGGGTGAAGGGGAAGAAGAAGAAGAAAAAGAAAAAAAAATGAAAGAAGGAAAGGAGGCGACAGAACAGAAACGATTAGTTTCTTTTACGTGCATGCTTGCTCGAGAGGATACTGTCAGTTTCCAGCAAACAAATCACGCGATTGTTGAAATCACCTGAACCCCCACCTGTAATCCTTACCTGAGCCTTCACCTAATCCGCACTAGCACCCGTCCTCACTTCCCTTCAGCAACACGCAAAGCACTCTCCCCCAACAGGTTTACCACAGGCCTGTTGAAAAGGCCTGAGATTTCGCCTGAGGCCCACGATGTGTACAAAGTCATTCTCCAGGTCCGAACCACATGGTGGTAGAAACCACCTGGGATTCAACCTGAGATTTTACCTGAGACCAACTATGTGCACGAAGTCTTTCTCCAAGGAGTTGACCACATGGTGGTAGAAATCGAAGTTGCCGGGAAGGTGCTGATTCTGGAGGTTGGGGGGGTACAGAGAGAGAGAGACGGCAGGTGCGGTGAGTTACAACAAGATGCAAGGTGCACCAAAGCCGTGAGAAAAGTAATGATTCTTTCTGACGGATGGGGATGGATGGAAGAAAAAGCAGGAATATCTAAGGGGACAGGAATGCTGTTAAGGCGCTTCTTGAAGAGCCTAAAAAATCGGATGGAAGAACGAGCAGGGGACAGGGTCGCTGTTAGGTGCTATTTGAGGGTAGCACCTAAAAAGAATTTTGACAGACGGGGGTGGATGGAAGAAAGAGCAGGAATATCTAAGGGGACAGGAGGATTGCTGTTTGGTGCGATGCGATGCGATGCGACTATCACAGGAGAATTATCTTCGTTCCAAGGCGGGTGTTTTGAAGAGTAAGAATAGATACATGTATATATATATATATATGTATGAATAAGATTTATATATATAAGTGTGTAATTTCTTACATGAATAAACGCAAGGCGCAAGGTGTAGTAGTCGGATCGGGTGATCGGGTTAACCAGCTGCTGCCAAAAGCATTGCTGTGTGTAGACAAGGGGGTGGGGGGTAGGGGTGGGGAGTGGGGAGAGGGAGGTGGGGAAGGGGTTGGGGAAGGGGGTGGGTGGAATGTAAGGGGTTGGGGAAGGGGGTGGGTGGAATGTAAGGGGGTGGGGAAGGGGGTGGGTGGAATGTAAGGGGGTGGGGAAGGGGGTGGGTGGAATGTAAAGGGGTGGGTGGAATGTAAGGGGGTGGGGAAGGGGGTGGGTGGAATGTAAGGGGGTGGGGAAGGGGGTGGGTAAGGGGGGCGTAAGAAATAAGGGAAGTTGGGAAATTGGAGAGGGACAGGCGAGAAGGGGAGGTAGGGAAGAAGAGGGTCTATGGCAAAAGATAGAGGAGGAGAAAGAGAAAGGGAAGGGGAGGGTTGTGTAAGGAATTCGCAAGGCAATGCGACCGTGCAAGGGCAACAAACCAACATCTCCGATCACAAATCACAATGGTTGATGGTTGCCAATCCCTATAACCCCAGGTCTCCCTCCCTCCCCAACCTACCAAGGTCAGCACCAGCGACTGCCACACGGTCAGCTGCATGCTCGCCTCTCGCCTCGCCATTGTATCCGACCGGGTCAACCGCCTCCCATCCCTCCTCGCCCCTCCTCCCTCCCCTCCCGTTCCTCCTCCCCCTCCTCCTCCGCTTCCTCCTGCTTCTCCCTCCGCTGCCCCTCCCTTCTCCACCCCTCCTCCTCCCACCTCTTGTGACCATCGCACTGACCTCCTCCCCCTCGCCCTCTGCCTCTCCTCTTGCCTCCTCCTCCCCTCCTCCTCTTGCCACTCCTTCTCCTTCCGTTCATCCTCCTCTCTCTCCTCCTCCTCTTCATATATCGCGTCCAGATCACCCCCCTCCTCCTCCTCTCCTATCCACGTGAAATGCTGCGGCATCTCCTCCCCCCCTGCCACGTCGTCATCATCATCATAGTCCTGAACCTGCAGCTTTGTGACCGGCCGAGCCTGGTCCCGAGCCTGCTCCTCAGCCTCTTGCTCCCGAGCCTGCTCCCCAGCCTCTTGCTCCCGAGCCTGATCTCGAGCCTGCTCCTCCTGACCCCATTGCTCCTGCGCTTGTGCAGCCTCCTGGACAACTTCCTGGAAAGTTCTGGCAAAATCGGGATCCTCACGGTGCTGCGCCACATCAGATCGGCCATCTGTTGAGCTGGAAGCCGCCTCTTCCACGTCAGGTGCCACGTCAGGAAACAGAAGGCGCCTATTGGTGAGGGTTCCTGTGCGGCGCAGGATGAAGTCGCGGTCGTTGAGGGCGCGAGAGAGCTGGCCTGAGAGGGGCGATGGACGGGGGTTTTGTGGGATAAGACAGGGTAAGGGAGGGATAAATCGCATGTTGGTGAGGGTTTCAGTGCATGTTGGTGAGGGTTCTGTTGGTGAGGGTTTTGCTGGTGAGGGTTTCAGTGTGGCGGAGCATGAAGTCGCGGTGGTTGAGGGCGCGGGAGAGGTGGCCTGAGAGAGGGAATGGGCGGGATAGTGTGGGACAAGACAGACAGGGATAAGGTAGAGGTAAGAAAGGGTGGTGGGACAGGAGGCGCCTATTCGTGCGGGTTCCTGTGCGGTGCAGGATGAAGTCCCGGTCGTTGAGGGCACAGCGCGGGAGAGCTGGCCTGGTGGTGGTTGGGATGAGAGAGGGGAAGGCAGTGAGGGGAGGGATAGGGGAGAGATGGGTAAGGGGAGGGGTAGGGGAGAGATAGGTAAGGGGAGGGATAGGGGGGAGATAGGTAAGGGGAGGGATAGGTCAGTGGGAGAGAACAGGGGTCAGCTGCCATGCGGCGAGGATGAAGTCCCGGTCGTTGAGGGCAGGGGAGTGCTGGCCTGGTGGTGGTTGGCATAAGAGAGGGGAAGGGGGTGAGGGGAGGGATAGGGGAGGGATAGGGGAGAGATAGGTAAGATTGAGAGAACAGGGGCAGTCGCCATGCCGCAGAGGATGTAGTCCCGGTCGTGAAGGGCACGGGTGAGCTGGTCTGAGAGGGGCGATGGAAGGGAATATTGGCAAGACATGTTGTGGGCTAAGATAGGGGGATAAGGCAGAGGTGAACGGGCGGGGGGGAAGGGGGACCGGGGGGGGGGATGAGGGGCATGTTGTCAAGGAGCCGTGTTAGGTTGGGTTGGGGGCCAGGGGTTGGGTGGGGGGGGAATGCGGGGCAAGCTGCCAAGGAGTCCTGTGCAAGAGCTGACTTTTGAGTCGACTCAAAAGTCAAGGGGGATGCGGGGCATTTTGTTAAGAAGTCCTGTGCAAGAGGAGGATGAACTCCCGATTGTGAAGAGCATTCCTGCTACAGCACTCCTCATTCCTGCTACAGCGCCCCTCATACCTGCTACAGCACCCCTCATTCCTGCTATAGCACCCCTCATTCCTGCTACAGCACCCCTCATTCCTGCTACAGCACCCCTCATTCCTGCTACAGCACCCCTCATTCCTGCTACAGCGCCCCTCATTCCTGCTACAGCGCCCCTCATTCCTGCTACAGCAACCCCTCTTACCTGCTACAGCAGCATCCCTCATTCCTGCTACAGCACCGCTCATACCTGAAACAGCGCCCTTCCTTTCGCTCATCTTCTTTTGGCAGTTGATCTCCCACTTGTGCCACCTGGACACCTGTGGTGGAGTGGGCAGGGATACAGGCGCGGGGGTGCAATTGAGATGACAATGGTAGTGACTGCTTTTCAGCCAACTCAAAAGCGTCTTTCCTTGGACTATCTCCTTTTTGCCAGTTGATCTCCCACTTGTGCCACTGGGACACCTGTGGTGGAGTGGGCAGGGATACAGGCGCGGGGTAACAAAAGAGGTGAAATGACACAGGTGCAGATGAGGTGTGGCCGCTTGGTTCAAAGCCAGATATGGATCTACTCTAGATAGAAATGCAGTGTGGTGAGAGAGAGGCGGTACCTTGGCGCGGGCGATGACAATGGTGACGCAGGTGTAGACGAGGTGGCCGCATAGGATAAGGCCCGTTAGAAGACTACTCTACAAAGAGAAAAGGTATGGTGAGGGGCGGTACCTTGGCGCGGGCGATGACAATGGTGACGCAGGTGTAGACGATGTGGCCGGCAATGACAAAGAAGATGAAGAGATGCAGCTGATGGATGGCTGCTGGCGACATGAACGGCTCCTTTCCCTGCAAACGCACATGGAGTGATCAGATACACGTGTGAACAGCAGTTGTGTGTCATTTCGCTAAAAGAAAAAATATAAAAATAATCATTATTAAAAAAAAGGGCGAAAAAAGTGGGAGCAGTGCACGATGGCACTGATGATGCGCTTCAGCACTTACAGCCGGGCATTTGTTGCTGAATTCCGCCAAGTTCCTTCGCCGGCCCACTTCGTGAAGTAAGCTGCTCTCATTCTCCCAATCGTCGACGTCTCCCAAAATGCGCCGCTTATGCTGCTCTTGTAGTTGTTGTCGCTCCCAACTCCCAATCAACTGCCGTATCTGATTTTCTAGGTCAATCTGTGAAGCCTTTCTGGGACCAGCTGATATGGGCTCCATAAGTCCCCTCCCCCGGCTGATTTCCCCCTCGCTTTCAGATGAATTGGCAGTGGATTTTTTTTTGGGATGTTTTACTTCTTCAGCTTTAGTCATGTTTACACTTCCATCTGGAAGTGTAACGGTGGTTACATTCATCATCAGCCGAGTCTTGTTACGGAAAATCAGCGTCTGTATCGAAGTTACCACCTTCGTCTTATTCGCAAACAAGACAGTGTCTCTGCGAATCTCGAGCCGAGTTCCGTTCGCGAACCGCTCGGTTTCTGAAAACGTCGCCCGTTTCGTGCCGTTTCCGGTTTCGCCGTGAGGAGTAACCCCAGTATTATTCTTCGCTGGCCCATCGATAGTACCGGTTTCGAATTCTGCAGTTGTATCCCCCCCATGCGTATCCCCTTCCACAGAGGAAGAGTTTTCGGCAGGTAAGGGCGCAGGTGAGTAGTAGGTGATTTGGGGCGGTTGGCACGGAATTAGAATGTTGTCCCTAGCAACGGGGACGCACCACGCCGCGATCAGCGGGTTGATTAACGCGAGTATGATGGAGAGAAATCCAGCGACCATGAGCTCTGAAAAGGTGAAGGTGAAGAAAACAGCAGGGACAGCAGCAGTAAGATATAGGAGATTAGGTTTTGGGGAACTGGCGAGATCGATCTTCTGGGGTACTAACACAACGGGAAAAAAGAACTTGGTTTTAGAGCAGGGTCGTATCCAAAGCCAAGAGAGCTTACCGTCTTTAATGCGATCGACCACGTGCACGAGGGACTTGTTCTTCTTGCTACCAAACCACTGCGCACAAGAAGCGAAGCGCGGCATAAGCCATAATCGACGGCCTTTCCATCTCCACAATAAAAAAATGAATAGATAAGCGCTTGTACTGAGTCAAGTAGACTTACATGGTGTACAACGTGGATGAGCTTTTCGAAGAGCACTGAAACGAGGATGATGATGGCGGTCACCGTGGCGATGTAGTAGCTGGGCGAATACACCATGTAGTTAAACCACTCCACCTTCTTACCCTCTCCGCCGCCGCCGCCGCTTTCGCCGCCGCTGCTGCCGCCGGCATCCCCGGCGAGAATGCGCTCGAGGAGCAGGTGACGCAGGTCCGACGCGCCGAAGCCGTGCGACGCGCTGAAGCCTCCTCGTCCTTCCATCGGATTTTAGGTCGTCCAAGCGGTGTAACGGAAGGAACGTGATGGTAGATCGTGATTTGGTAATGCTTGTGTCGAGGTCCTGAGCTTTCCTGCTGGTAATGAGGGGGAAGACAACAGACGACCTCTAGCGGACTGATAAGGAAATTAGGACTCGTAATACCTCGGAGGTGTGGCCCTATTCAATGGTTAACATGCTTTCTGACAGCCTGCACTGGCAAATTATCGGTCGAAATCCTTCCTCGTCAGATACACACGGTCGGCTTTACAGACTTTCAAGGCGGCCTGTGCCTTACGAAACGCGGGGAAGCGTCGCTTCTCTCGACAATGCGGGAGGATGTGAGATTCCGGCGTGGCGTGCACATCTTCCCCCGCGGTACTAGACTGAGCATCCCTACAATAATTCTCTTGCTTGTGAGTCGAAATCTCGTGCAGGGAAAGGAATTATGCGTGTCTGCCGTCTTTGGTGCTAGCCTTGAGACAATAATTCTGTCAGCAGTGTGGTACACTGGTGACGGCTTTCCAGCCCCGGGTTCTGGTGTGGTGTCAGTGGTACATGATTTGAACAGAAAGGATTGCTAGATGGTGTGATTGTTTACAAAGCGTTTTCGTACGGTCAACCGTGGTAGTGTTATGAATGGAACTGCCGAGTAGCGCGGAGGGCGATGGCGAAACTTGAACGAGTGAATAACAATAAGGGCGTGTCCAGCGCGTTCGTTTACTATTCACTTTGATTCGTTTACTTACGATACTGTAGGTGTACCTCAACACATTCACACTTGGCGAATCAATATTTAGGCGTGTTAAAAAAACGTCAAAAAAATCGTGTTGGGGCAAAATGAACGCGCTGGGCCCTAAAATGAAAGACAACACAATATATAAGAGATCTAGGGTGATCCTGGACGTAGGATCGGAGGGTTCGGGAAAAGTGCCGAAGGGCCTCGATGTGTCGAAGTGAGGTCTGGGAAGGCCCAGGAGACTCGAACTGAAAGGTCTGGAACCCTGACGATGGTTCGGGACCGTTCGAGTCGTACAGCCTGTAGCAGGCCTCAGTAAGGAATTACTAATTCCTTACAGGTAGGACTACATGGTTACGAGATTCACGCAAGGAACGAGGGTCCACTACATGGTTTTGACAACAGACACTAGAATGATGGCTGGAGATTTTATTCAACACCCATGGAAACTTCAATGTGGGACAAAAACTGAATCAAATATAAAAACTGCACCAAAAATTTTGTGCGTTGTGTTGCCGTTGACATATTTAATGTGCCATAAATCAAGTTTTATAAATTATACATAAAGTGATTCGTTTCAAAACTCCTTAGAATAGTCGCATTATACTCTGCATGGTGTTTTGTTATAGAAGTGAAGTGTACTTTATGTGTAGCAGGGCAGCTAGGTAGATGGAGTGCCTCCACAAAAGAGTACAGTTTGGCGGTTCTGTGATGATATGAGTCAATTCACCCTGAATGGGATGGAACGAACGGGAGACGAAACGGTTATCCCGAGGTTTTGCGGCGTGGGAGTTGAGTTGGGACGGCATGTGGAGGACTCCTTGCCTGATCTAACGTGTTCAGATCGGTTCCGATCAACAGGGATCCGGTTATCCAACTTGAATCCGAACCCTGAGAGATCGCCAGGGGCAACGCACGGCGCACGAGGTGTGCTCACCTAAGCTACTCTCTTACGTAACAGAGATGGGCAGGGCTCATCAGCTTGCCTCGGATATCCGCATTCCACTCCACTACCAGCTGTAGCAGATATTTTCCATATGGCCCTCCTACGGAGTCATGCACAAGCAAGAAACGTAGCTCTTCCAGCCAGAGAGGCTTCACGCGTGTCTCCTGTCCATTCCTCACCCCCCCCCCCTCCCCTCCCCCCCCCTCTTCCCCCCTCTCCCCCACCTCAACCCACCTCAACCCACCTCACTCCCCCCCCCCCCCACCTTCACATTTCACGGAAGATTCCAGTTTAGGAAGTCCTCGAGTCATTTTCCCGTAGTGCCGTTTCCTCTCGCGAAACCATCTCTCCGCCAGCCGATGTAGCGCGGGCTTCACGCGACAGCGCCACTGGTCCGGCGGGGTAGAAGTCTAAGTTTTGAGGCGCCTCAAAACTCGTCTCTCGTAACCGGCGCTTGCGCGAGATTTGCGCGACAGCGTCGCTGGGGGGGGGATAACTCACGCGGGGGGTCGATTCGCGGGCGCGAACTGGCAGCGCGCGCGCGTGCATGCAGCATTGCAGCAGGGCCTCGCGAACTGCCAGGTCGCGTCGCCATTACTAGAGACGGGAGGGTCCGGGGAAGCCCGACACACAAAGGAGGGGGGGAGTCGCGGAAGCCCGCGAACGGCTCGTTCGCAGCGTGACAACCGCGTTTCAGCAGGCATCGATAGGGCCGGCGTTTCATCCTATTACGAAACCCGGAGCCTAGAAGATTCGACGCGGCTCAGAGTTGCAACTTGCAACTCGAACGCTGATCACCAGGTCTCAAAAGGGCCGTTTCATCTCCTCTCAACGGGCCGTTTCATCTCCTTTCGGGAGCCCGCGCCATCATGCGCGTTAATGTACAATACTGAATCCGCGTCGGGTGCTGCTTTTGTACACACTATATCTTTAACCTCTGCGAGCGAGTGAACGCACGGCGATAGCATTGCGACACGAATTCTGCTGCGCACGGCCGCCGCAGCTGAAGCAGCAGAAGCAGCAGAAGCAGCAGAAGCAGCAGGAGTAGCAGAAGCAGGCGCTGCCTGGGAACGTACGGTCGACGGGGGGATCCTGCTAGTGGACGGGGCGACGCGTGAAACAGCTCTCAGCAGCAGCGCAGTTGTAGGGGTCGGGGGGTGTTGGGGGTGTCGGCGGGTGTCGGGGGGGGTCGGGGGTGTCGGGGGGTGTCGGCGGGGGGTCGGGGGGTGTCGGGGGATGAAGCAGAAGCAGGCGCGAGGGATACGTTGGACGAATATGCACAGTTTCTAGGAGACGGCGAGGTAGGAGGAGTGGTTGGGAGGAGAGGCTAGGAGGAGGCGGTAGAGAAAGAGGAGGGAGAATCAGCTCCTAGCCACCGTTGCCAGGAGAAGTTACCACCCGAACGGACGACGGCTAGGAGGTTTGCTAGTTTGTTCGGCCCTACAAGTCCCCCGCTCCAAAGCGCCGGAAGGGGGTGATACTTGATCCCTCCAGCAGCATCTGTCCGTTAGTAGTTCCCCTTCCCCCGTCCGCCCGCGCTAGAGTTTTCCTGCGCGGCCTGTTAGGCTTTAAGTCTGAGTTTGAGCTGTACAGCTGGGCCCGTTTCAGTCGGTGTTCAGCTGGGCCCGTGCTTCTCCATTACCACCCTAGTGACTGGCCTCCTAAGGCCCCGCGTTTAGAAAGTGACTTGTCTATTTATTTATTTATCAAGAACGTGATGGCGACACCTGGGTGCCGCCGCCGCAAGTTAATATCCACCATGCGTCCATCCCTGCTCCTCCTCCTGCTGCTGCTCTCCCTCGCCTCTCCGCCCTTTCCGCTGCTGCTGCTGATGCCGCCGGAACGAATTCAGGCGCGCCGGAGAGTGCACCCAAACCCGGTGGGAGTCTGACCAATCGCAGCCCGCCACCGCCGCCGCCGCCGATTAGCATTTCATTCGACGAAAACGGCAACCCAGTGGGCCCCAACGACGTGGCTTTCCAGCGCTACGTGCCGCCGTCCCGCCGCCCCCGTCGCCGCCCCCGCCAGTTGTCTCTTTCATGCAGGGAACGTACATCAACTGCGGCAGTAACGAGTCGCTTGCCAACCCGCTCTACACCTGGGCGGCCGATACTTTGTCGGGCAGCTTCGGGCGGAGTTTCAAGGCGCGAGTGGTGAAAACGAGCATGACTGAGAAGGTTCCTGCGGGCAGGATGGGGTATGGGAAGGTGGAGTTCACTGAGACTGGGCTCATCAAGACGCCCCCTGGGGTGGATGCACGCGTGTTTGAGACGGTGCGACACTTTGATGAGGCGGGACGCAACGTGTCGACCTACTCTGTGCCGGTGAGTGGGTTCTGGCTGGTTGGGTATGGGAGGTGGAGTATGGCATTGATGGGGTATAGGGAGATGGAGTATAGGTAGGATGGGGTATGGGAGGTGGAGTATCGGTAGGATGGGG